ACAACATGAAACAACTACCATTTGGGAATGATTTCAATCCAACCCATTTATGATATTCTTGTGAATGATGTGTGGTCGCTTTAGCACACAAGTCAACACCAGCTATCCTCACTTTTAAAGCTTCCAATGGCTGCCATCCAGGTCACGGTATAGATCGGTGAAGTGTGGTGTCGCAACCTGCGATGGAAATCAAATGCTGCGCCGGATAACAGCACTTAGCACTGAAAAAGGTCCCAATGTTGATGAAAATATCTTCCAGATGTAGCAAGTATACACTTAAGCATCTGTCTAATCTCAAGAAAGAAGATATACAGCTGGTATATATATATATATTGAACCATATTGTTCACCCAAATATCTTATATCTGTAGTGATTTTTGATGACCTTCCAAGGGTTGACTTCTGCTTCGGTAAACCATGGCTCGTAAACTATGGATCGTAAACCATGGCTCGTAAACCATGGCTCGTAAACTATGGATCGTGAACCATGACTCGTAAACCATGGCTCGTAAACTATGGATCGTAAACCAAGACGGCCATGACTCGTAAACCATGGCTCGTAAACTATGGATCGTAAACCAAGATCCATAAACTATGCTCCGTCAACTATGCTTCGCGCCACAACGGCGTGCACTTTTTCGACATCTCAACTTCCAAAAGTGGTCCGGGCCTGGTGTGTTTTGTACATGTTGACTTCAAAATGTGCTTCGCGCCACAACGGCGTGCACTTTTTCGACATCTCAACTGCCAAAAGTGGTCCGGACCTGGTCTGTTTTGTACATTTTGACTTCGAAATGTGCTTCGCGCCACAACGGCGTGCAATTGTTCATCTCAGATGTCTCCGCATCCGCCGCTTTAGCGAGCCTACTTTTCAACCCTCCGGAGCCACAAAACCACCAAAAAACACAGTGTTTCGCGACTTTCCTACCTTTTCGCGCACCTGCATCTTCTTTCTTCTGACTCTTTCTCTTCTGATCTTCTCTCTTCTAATCTTTCTCTTCTCTCTGCCTCTGCCCTGCTCTGCTTTTCATCTGTCCATATTGTCGGAAGTTTGACTTCTAAACTTCCTTCGATGATGTGTAAGATGAGACTGTGCATGTACTTGCCAGAGGGGGTGGGATTTTGATATGACGTGGAAGATGAGAATGTGCATGTACTTGCCAGAGGGGGTGGGATTTTGATATGACGTGTAAAATGTGGCTGTGCTTGTAATTGCCAGAGGGGGTGGGATTTTGATATGACGTGTAAGGTGAGACTGTGCATGTACTTGCCAGAGGGGGTGGGGTTTTGATATGACGTGGAAGATGAGACTGTGCATGTACTTGCCAGAGGGGGTGGGATTTTGATATGATGTGTAAGATGAGACTGTGCATGTACTTGCCAGAGGGGGTGGGATTTTAATATGACGTGCAAGATGAGACTGTGCATGTACTTGCCAGATGGGGTGGGATTTTGATATGATGTGTAAGATGAGACTGTGCATGTACTTGCCAGAGGGGGTGGGATTTTGATATGACATGTAAGATGAGACTGTGCATGTACTTGCCAGAGGGGGTGGGATTTTGATATGACGTGGAAGATGAGACTGTGCATGTACTTGCCAGAGGGGGTGGGATTTTGATATGACGTGTAAGATGAGACTGTGCATGTACTTGCCAGAGGGGGTGGGATTTTGATATGATGTGTAAGATGAGACTGTGCATGTACTTGCCAGAGGGGGTGGGATTTTGATATGACGTGTAAGATGAGACTGTGCATGTACTTGCCAGAGGGAGTGGGATTTTGATATGATGTGTAAGATGAGACTGTGCATGTACTTGCCAGAGGGGGTGGGATTTTGATATGATGTGTCAGATGAGACTGTGCATGTAGTTGCCAGAGGGGGTGGGATTTTGATATGATGTGTAAGATGAGACTGTGCATGTACTTGCCAGAGGGGGTGGGATTTTGATATGACGTGTAAGATGAGACTGTGCATGTACTTGCCAGAGGGGGTGGGTTTTGGTTGCTGAGGTTTGGTTGCTGAAGCGAGAGTAGATTTTGGTTGCTGAGCCGTAGTTGCTGAAGCGAGAGTTAGTTTTGGTTGCTGAAGCGTAGTTGCTGAAGCGTAGTTGCTGAAGCGTAGTTGCTGAAGCGAGAACCTAGTTTGGTTGCTGAGCCGTGGTTGCTGAGCCGTGGTTGCTGAGCCGTGGTTGCTGAGCCGTGGTTGCTGAGCCGTGGTTGCTGAGCCGTAGTTGCTGAGCCGTAGTTGCTGAGCCGTAGTTGCTGAGCCGTAGTTGCTGAAGCGGAGTTTAATCACCTTCCAAGCCAATGGCTGCTTCCGGAAGATCAACCGGCCCCGGCAGACAAGCAGCAAGCATGCCAATCACCGTGGCCAGAAGTCCTACGAGCAAAGGGGATGGGCCCGAATGGATCATTTTTCGTGAAGGTTCATGGAAACCCAAAAAAACATCCATTGGACCATGGTGTTTGTAAAGTTTAGGGGATATCTATGGGATATTCATAGGGTATTTCTGGGATACCACATTAATCGAATTCCTCTTCAAATGGCAAACGTTCAAGGTTCCACCTGATATTCTTTAGGTTCATGTGCAGTTTCTACCCGCTCAAAACCATGTGGGGGACCAGTCGAGATTTCAATGGTTCCAATGGATGGATGTGTGCAAAAATCAGAGCAAACGAACCCGCAATCCACACAGGATTTCTAGAAAAGTTCCCTTCAACCAATACTCAATCCTTGTATCCATCCGTATATATATATAACATATCATATACGTACTACGTATATATATATATATATGATCTATATATATATATATACCTCACCCTCTCAAAAATAAGGACACTCTCCAGGCATCTTCCCAGCGTCCTCTTCCCATCTCCAGGGCTGTCGCTTCCGCTGGCGTCTTGCTGGGATTGCCCACCCCGTGGAACTTCATCACCGCCTGCAGCGGCAGCGGCCGGAGAAGTCTGTTTCAAATGGGGAAAGATCAGCGGAACCATAATGTGTAAAGGAACCCAACTGATACTTACGTATCTATATATATATGTGTGTGTTTATATGTGTGTGTATAGGTTTTTTATTGATTGATGTTTAGTACCTGCGATTTTGTACAATCAAGAACCATGTATCTGAACAGTCTGAACAATCATGATATGACCTTTCTATACAAATCACCTACCAAACCCGGCACATCTTGGCGTCGTCACCTCCGGTCCCCAGTCGCCTGCTTGCTGATGACCTCAGTCGCTGCCTTTCTCTTGCTCCAGTTGGGATCATCCCAACAGTTGAGATGGTTCAAGTTGAAAAAGAAAAAATGTGTCTCAAATATTCATATAATATATATATATATATAATCATATACATATCTATATATATATATTTTTTTATTATATATATATATATACATATATTATAGTATAGATATAATATCAAAAAAGAAACGTGTTAGAAATTGAAGAATTTGTACCAAAGCTTTGTGAACTTCTACGTGTTTAGATTTTTTTGCTCATGAAGCCTGATCCACAAAGCTTTGGACCAAGCGGCCGTGTTCACAAAGAAGGTCACCTGTCTGGGCATTTGGAGCAACGATCCACTGAAACGGTCCAAGTCATGTGGAGGTGTCCTATATTTGTTGTGGGGGTACCACCAGATCATCCAAGTCAGACCATTGTTGAAACTTGGGGATTCCCCAGTTGAAACCCCGAAAATATATGGGATTTTATGCACTAATGAGAATCCCAAGATATTGGGTAGTATAGCCCCCGAACCAACCATAAACCAACAGAGCTCAGCTGGACTTTGCTCATATCTGCTTACCCAGAAGGGAAAATCCACCGTTTTGTAGGGGATTTCCCATTGCCATCTTTGATAATCGGGGGGTAAGGACAAAAATCGTCAGAAATTTGAACTGTGGAGCGTTTCTGATTCTTGCTGGTCAACTTTCACCAAATTTTAGGTAGAATATGCGAAATTGGGGAAGATATTTTCTTCATCTAAGATAGTATGCATCATGGCTCTTGAATGCCAACCTGGTTGGATTTGTCAAAGCACTTCACCATCGGTATCTCTGCAGATCTCAAGTTCCAGAGTTCCGGAGTTCCGGAGTTTCGCCTGCTGGATGGTATCCCACAGCTGGTATCTTCCATACTCCGGCGCCACTGACTCTGGCCAGCCCTCTGGTGCGAAGACGGAGATCAGTAGCTGCCGGCTGGGAGCCATGGCTCCAAGCGATGGCAATTGAAGGGAAAAATCTAGGAATTTCTGGGAAAAGTCTGGGAATCTTTGGAGAAATGGGGAAGAGTTCCATGGCTTTTGTTTGGTGTGAAACATCCCATTTCTGCGAAAAATTGGAGAAACATGTCATGCAAAAGGTCCCCAAAAAAAAAACAGGTCTCGGACCTCGGACATCTTTATATCTCCTGAAGTGGGAGGAAAAAGAGATCGGGGGTATCATTTTGGTTGAAGGTCAACCGCATGTGAAATTGAATATACCATATATGATACCGTAATATATCATCAGTTTCCATAATATACGTACCATAATATACCAGCATATACCAGCATAATGATACATAATATACCATATACCAACCATAATATACCTAGCTGACAGCAAACAGCCAGGGTTTGCAGGACGGAGCCAGATGGCTGCCAGTTGTGTCGACGTCAGGAAGTTGCTGGCAGCATTCTGAAGTTGGGTTTGGTCGGCATGTGTCCCATTAAGATGTTAACTAAGATGTTAAAAGCCACATTAAATGTCCATGATGTTAAAAACCCTGTTCAATTTCCATGTTCACATTTGTCCAATGAAGTTAATCATCACTTTCCCCTTAAGTTTGCCATAAATACCAGATAAAATGCAGGTCTCTCCCATCTATTCTCATCAATTGACACGTTTTTTCCAACCCTCTGGTGTCAGCTCCGTCATGGAAACTCAGCCACACCAATGATTCCCTCCCCGATTCTCCCCGCTACTCCGCAGATCTCAGGCGCAAGCCATCCACCAAGACATGCATCTGGAAGACGCCCGACGCCACGGGATTCACGGTGGCCGTGTAGTTTCCGCCTGAAGCAACACGCAGAAATGACGCAGAAATGGCATGGCATGGGCAAAGATGGTACCCCTCCAGGAATCCAAGATGGGAAATCTCTCATCAATTGGCATTGGAAAATTGTTTATAAATGGATGAGATCCCAGGATTCGAAATCTTGTTGGTAAAAAACCATTCGGATTCCTGCACATATCGCCTTAAAACAAGCCGTAGAAAAAACATATTGGACATCAGGGATTTTGGATGGATCATTAGTTATGGATAATAAGCCGTAATATTACTATCATTTTTAGATGTCAACTGCTCTTGAACACCCACAATCCATGATCCATCAACAACTAATCCATCCACAGTGGAAAATCCACAACATTCCATAACCCATCCATCATCACCACAGAGAAGAACCTATTGGTCCCCTATCCAGTCGATCTCCATCCTGGCCTCCCAAGTAGGAGAAGGAAAGCATCACAGCAGGCTCTGAGGTCAAATACCCCGTGATGACGGCGGTCCTGAGAAGAACCAGTTGAGTGTGTCCCAAAAAAAATGGTGCAGTCCTTCAAAAAGCTCCCTTCAGCAAGGAAAAAACTCACCAAGTTTGATGTACTTTGGCTGTGCTTTTACCTAAGAAATGCCCACTCCAGCCTCAGATTCACTATCTTCACCGTTTCTGGGCTCTCCACGTATCCGTGGTGCGGGGATTATCTTCGGCATCCCTGGTGTGGATGATGAAGGTGTTGTCCTTGCCAGGTGAAACTTGGATCTGAAACCAAACAGATGTGCTTCCTACGAACCTGTCGCCACGGATTTCGGATTGCAATGACATCCCCATTGAAAAATCTCCGTTCTGTGTCAATGACCACCAGTGGAACCACCTGGCCTGTCCCGAAGTGATGGATGTAAGACCGGCCTCAGGAAGCCGCAAATCATGCCATGTGTCATGGGCCAGAAAAAAATATCCCCATTCCTAGGCCATGAGCCCCTCAATGGTGCCAAGTCACCCCCGAAGCCAATGAGGTGTTGGCAGCTTCTTGTGGCCTGGGAATTTGGCCCAGATCAAATCTCGGATTTCAGGACAGGCTGAAGAGCTGAAGAGCTGAACAGCTGATGCCCTCCATCTCCGTCCCGAAATTTCAGGCTCCCAACACAACCACCGTGGTGGTGTCCAAGGGAAGTACCTGAAAGTCATCACCGACGGTCAGGGTGACCCATGGGCCATGGGGCGTCAATTCACATGTTTTTGAATGCCTTTGTCGGTACCAAAGCATTCAGTTTGGGAGATCAAAATACGATTTTGTAGCCTTATTGGGATGGCTCAACTTGGGTATGCGAAAATTTTTGGGGAGTTTCTGGGTCTGAACATTTGACGACCCATCTCTCACCTGAAAAAAAAATCACACAAGTTGCCCCGCAAAATCCACCAGAAACTGGTGAGATCAGTACCAAGTGATGGAGTCCCAGCCAAATGGCTCAAGTGCCAAGGCACTGTGACCCTCCAAACTCTTCACCAAGGTGCATTCAATGGATGGAGCAGATATTCACTCGGAACCAGCTCATCCTCAAACTCCGTTGCTGCCCAGTAGAGACGCACATAGGCTGTCCCGGCCTTGGTCCACCGGGGCGAAGGTCATCCTCCAGTAATCCAATGGGAAATTGCGAAGGTAATCATTGGGGAGGCAAGCTATGAAAATAGGAAGATGTGAAACCACCAGAAACACGGTTGGAGGGGACATCTTCACATTTTCACAGGAAATCATCTACAAATCAGGGGGTTCCCTTTGCTACACTACCTTTTCGCTGTCTCATTCATAAGGCCTTTCGATGCTCGCCATTCAGAGACATGGCGGCTGCATCTGAGACCAAAGCAGAGTGCTTGTACTGGACTTCAATGTAGGATGGAACGTGATTCGTGAGCATCACCTGACATGACCCACATCCATCATCTGTGATCAAAGCAACCATTCACTTAAAGTCACCAGACAATAAACCACCGTTTACCCAACCAACAACCAACCAACATGCCTCAAATCCTAATGTTTCTTGCTTCATCTTCCGTCATGTGTTCAGGCCTTGCTCGTGCTGAAGTTCCAGATCACCACCACGAGATCATCACCATTCACCAAAGATGGTGTCTAGAAATGCTGAGGAAACCCTCATTCCATCCACGATTCAGTACCCTTTGGTAATTTTTCACGGCTTTGTCTGAAAATGTTGGGGAAAAAAATAATTCCGTTCAACTCCAATGGGTTGATCATCATCATCATCATCCCTATGAAAATCGCCATACCTGGGGGATCCTGGGGGTATACTAACCATTTTCAGACCCACCATTTATCGAAAATGGCTTTCCCCGCCTGCGCAGAGGCGCGTACCGCGGTGTCCGACTCGATCTCGTCGATGACCCACTCGCTGCCTACCTTGGGAATGTTTAGGATCACTGGAGGATTGAAGTCGATATTAAAGATATGGAAGTTATCCATTCATTGAATTGAAAGATATCCATGATGAAGTATCAAAGATATGAAGATTTAAATGGATATCATCGATAAATGAATGATCATGGGAACCCCTTTCTGCTGGTGAAATCTCCGACTGTTTGTTGGTTACATCCCCCATTCCACCCTCCCAAGAGAACCAGAAAATCCATTACACCCCGCCCGCATCTGGATGTGCCGAGAGTGTTTGGGCGCCCCAACCATGACCCTGGCTCCTTTATCTGCTTCGATGCGGATGCTATGCAAACCGGTGGCTTTGGGCCTCAGTTCCAAGTGAAACAATGATGGATCGATGTCACAAAGTCAACAAACACCGTCCATTACGTCTGTCTTGTTGTGAACTTTGATCTGAACTGCCCCAAATAGACAGCGCAGAGCGAGGGGGCAGCCACAGCAGCAGCCGCAGCAGCCCACAAAAAAAAAGCACGCCATGAACACCGAGGGCAAAGGCCCAACGGGAACAAACGACTCCATGGCGTCGGGAGGCCAAGGCGCCCAGACCACACCAAAGGTGCAAACAGCCCAGCGAAAAGCCAACCAACACCGCAAAAAGGAAACCAAGGGGCAAAGACCCAAACAAACCAAGCCAAACCCCGAGGGGAAGCCCACGAAGGAAAGGCAACCTGAAAGGGAGTGCAAGTGGGCAAGACCAATAAACCGGAAGCTAACTAGGACCATGATACAAACAAGCACGAGTCATGGATGGACAAGGGACCAAAGCATCTCTTGCACATGAATCAACCAACCATGCACAGCATCAATATCACAACTGCAGTAGGCATTTTGATAGGCCCACAGGCTCTCCACTACTTTGAGTAGCATAGCATGTGACACGCCTCTTTCTATTCGTCCCTTTGTTGGCTGTGTTTGTGCAGTGTTTTTGTGCAACATCTGTTGCAATGTTTGTTGCAATGTGTGCGCTTTTTCGGCAGTTGTCGGATCACCCAGGTACCTCTTACAGCACTTACTGGCTGCAGCAGGTGTTTTGATGACCAAACAAGTTCTTGGAACCTGTTAACGGATGCCTTCAGCAAATACTGCTGAATCATCAGCTGGAGGTTCCCAAAAAACTTTGGAGAAACCCAAATAGAACCATGAACGAATTGTTCTACAGCCTTCAAGTAGCATAGCATCTGCCAAGTGCCTTCCTTTTCCTCCGTTTCGTCTCCTTTCCGGCAATGTTTGTTGCAATGTTTGTTGCAATGTTTGTTGCAACGTTTGCTCTTTTCAACAGTTGTCGGATCACCCAGGTGCCTCCTACAGCACCTACTGGCTGCAGCAGGTGTTTTGATGACCAAACAAGTTCTTGGAACCTGTTAACGGATGCCTTCAGCAAATACTGCTGAATCATCAGCTGGAGGTTCCCAAAAAACTTTGGAGAAACCCAAATAGAACCATGAACGAATTATTCTACAGCCTTCAAGTAGCATAGCATCTGCCAAGTGCCTTCCTTTTCCTCCGTTTCGTCCTTTCCGGCAATGTTTGTTGCAATGTCTGTTGCAATGTATGCTGCAATGTGTGCGCTTTTTCAGCAGTTGTCGGATCACCCAGGTGCCTCCTACAGCACTGACTGGCTGCAGCAGGTGTTTTGATGACCAAACAAGTTCTTGGAACCTGTTAACGGATGCCTTCAGCAAATACTGCTGAATCATCAGCTGGAGGTTCCCAAAAAACTCTGGAGAAACCCAAATAGAACAATGAACGAATTATTCTACAGCCTTCAAGTAGCATAGCATCTGCCAAGTGCCTTCCTTTTCCTCCGTTTCGTCCTTTCCGGCAATGTTTGTTGCAATGTCTGTTGCAATGTATGCTGCAATGTGTGCGCTTTTTCAGCAGTTGTCGGATCACCCAGGTGCCTCCTACAGCACTTACTGGCTGCAGCAGGTGTTTTGATGACCAAACAAGTTCTTGGAACCTGTTAACGGATGCCTTCAGCAAATACTGCTGAATCATCAGCTGGAGGTTTCCAAAAAACTTTGGAGAAACCAAAATAGAACAATGAACGAATTATTGCACAGCCTTCAAGTAGCATAGCATCTGCCAAGTGCCTTCCTTTTTCTCCGTTTCGTCCTTTCCTGCAATGTTTGTTGCAATGTTTGTTGCAACTGCTCTTTTCAGCAGTTGTCGGATCACCCAGGTGCCTCCTACAGCACTACTGGCTGCAGCAGGTGTTTTGATGACCAAACAAGTTCTTGGAACCTGTTAACGGATGCCTTCAGCAAATACTGCTGAATCATCAGCTGGAGGTTCCCAAAAAACTTTGGAGAAACCCAAATAGAACCATGAACGAATTGTTCTACAGCCTTCAAGTAGCATAGCATCTGCCAAGTGCCTTCCTTTTCCTCCGTTTCGTCCTTTCCGGCAATGTTTGTTGCAATGTCTGTTGCAATGTATGCTGCTGCGCTTTTTCAGCAGTTGTCGGATCACCCAGGTGCCTCCTACAGCACTGACTGGCTGCAGCAGGTGTTTTGATGACCAAACAAGTTCTTGGAACCTGTTAACGGATGCCTTCAGCAAATACTGCTGAATCATCAGCTGGAGGTTCCCAAAAAACTTTGGAGAAACCCAAATAGAACCATGAACGAATTATTCTACAGCCTTCAAGTAGCATAGCATCTGCCAAGTGCCTTCCTTTTCCTCCGTTTCGTCCTTTCCGGCAATGTTTGTTGCAATGTCTGTTGCAATGTATGCTGCAATGTGTGCGCTTTTTCAGCAGTTGTCGGATCACCCAGGTGCCTCCTACAGCACTTTCTGGCTGCAGCAGGTGTTTTGATGACCAAACAAGTTCTTGGAACCTGTTAACGGATGCCTTCAGCAAATACTGCTGAATCATCAGCTGGAGGTTCCCAAAAAACTTTGGAGAAACCCAAATAGAACCATGAACAAATTATTCTACAGCCTTCAAGTAGCATAGCATCTGCCAAGTGCCTTCCTTTTCCTCCGTTTCGTCCTTTCCTGCAATGTTTGTTGCAATGTTTGTTGCAACGTTTGCTCTTTTCAGCAGTTGTCGGATCACCCAGGTGCCTCCTACAGCACTGACTGACTGCATCAGGTGTTTTGATGACCAAACAAGTTCTTGGAACCTGTTGACGGATGCCTTCAGCAAATACTGCTGAATCATCAGCTGGAGGTTCCCAAAAAACTTTGGAAAACCCAAATAGAACCATGAACGAATTATTCTACAGCCTTCAAGTAGCATAGCATCTGCCAAGTGCCGTCCTTTTCCTCCGTTTCGTCCTTTCCTGCAATGTTTGTCGCAATGTTTGTCGCAATGTTTGTTGCAATGTTTGTTGCAATGTTTGCTCTTTTCAGCAGTTGTCGGATCACCCAGGTGCCTCCTACAGCACTGACTGACTGCAGCAGGTGTTTTGATGACCAAACAAGTTCTTGGAACCTGTTAACGGATGCCTTCAGCAAATACTTCTGAATCATCAGCTGGAGGTTCCCAACAAACCTTACAGAGACAGATCTTCCAATTCGGAAGTGCCAAGTGTGTGCTCTCTTCTTCTTTGGTGCCATTTTTCCTTTCTCAGCACTGAAGGTTTGCTCAGGTATATTCTTTAATGGGATTACGTCCTATCCAACTATTGTGTTTTCTCAAGTTTTAAGCATTATTCCATCATTTCCAGTTGAGGAAGTGAATATACCTCCATCAAAATAGCAAAAAAAAACTGGATGGTTTGCCCTTTTGCCATTTTTCAAACCCTCCGGCAAGAAAGATAAACAATGGCATCCATCAAAATGATCAGAAACCCCCCAGCAGCCTGGTTTGGTCCAAATCCCAGCTCCCTCAGCCATTAGCCTGCACACATGGTAAAATGATCCTATCCTCCATCACCTGGCAATCACCTGGCAATCACCTGGCAACTCCACTGGCTAATCGTCGCTACCATTTCCTGCATTTTCCCCTTCAAGCCATTTTGCGAGTGCTTATTCAGTGACTAACATTGAGATTTGTCAAGATTACGAAGATTATACGAAGCGGACTTGGATGCTTAAGATATAACTATATATATATATATATATTGGGCTCTGCCTCGTGACACTAACAGTGACCACAATTCATACCACAAAAAAAAACACACAAAAAAAATCAGGTTGTAGTCCCCAATATGACTTTCATTTCCCCTTATTAAGGCTAGATGACCAGGCATATTCCCTGCAAGTTGGCTCCACGGTCGGCACATTTTCTTGCCATGCCCAGAAGTCCTTGCTGTCAAAATTCGACATTGGCATTTCCAATGGGATGCCTCATGCATCCAGCTTGTCAGCACCTTGTGGGTAGTGATGCTGCTGATTGCAAAGCAATATTGTTTAGGGTTTTGGATGCTGCCCATTGCAGCGATGATGGCAAAGCAATACTGTTTAGGGTTTCGGATGCTGCCCATTGCAGCGCTGATGGCACAGCAACACTGGTTAGGGTTTAGGATGCTGCCCACCACAATGCCGATGGAAAAGTAATTCTGTTAGGGTTTAGAATGTTGCCCATCGCAGCGCCGATAGCAAAACAATAGAATGTGTGTGTGTACAATACATATAAAGGCCGGGGCTGCTGGACTGACCCTGGGCAAGGGTTGGGGGCTGAGCCTGGGGGCTGGAGCCTGGGAGCTGGGGAATGCTGGGGGACTAGAGGCCTGGCGGGCTGGCTGGCTGAGGTGGGGGCTGGAGCTGGGCCGGGCTGGCCAATTGAAAATGCTTTAAAAGCAGCGACTTTCCAAAAGCAGAAAAAAAGCAGAAAAAAGCAGAAAAAAAGCACAAAACAAGCACAAAAAAAAGCAGAAACTGGCGCAGGAAAAAAGGAAAATGACTTTGTTTTTTTTGTGCTTTTTTTTGTGGTATGAATTGTGCTTTTTTTTGTGCTTTTTTTTGTGGTATGAATTGTGCTTTTTTTTGTGCTTTTTTTTGCGGTATGAATTGTGCTTTTTTTTGTGCTTTTTTTTGTGGTATGAATTGTGCTTTTTTTTGTGGTATGAATTGTGGTTTGTTTTGTGCTTTTTTTTGTGGTATGAATTGTGCTTTTTTTGTGCTTTTTTTTGTGGTATGAATTGTGGTTTTTTTTGTGCTTTTTTTTGTGGTATGAATTGTGCTTTTTTTTGTGCTTTTTTTTGTGGTATGAATTGTGCTTTTTTTGTGCTTTTTTTTGTGGTATGAATTGTGCTTTTTTTGTGCTTTTTTTTGTGGTATGAATTGTGCTTTTTTTTGTGCTTTTTTTTGTGCTTTTTTTTGTGGTATGAATTGTGCTTTTTTTTGTGCTTTTTTTTGTGGTATGAATTGTGCTTTTTTTTGTGGTATGAATTGTGCTTTTTTTTGTGCTTTTTTTTGTGGTATGAATTGTGCTTTTTTTTGTGCTTTTTTTTGTGCTTTCTGGCAATTGAAAACAAATTAGATAATAGTTTCCCTTCACAATTTCACATGCGAACGGGCTGGAAACGCGCATGATTGTGCTTTTTTTTGTGCTTTTTTTTGTGGTATGAATTGTGCTTTTTTTTGTGCTTTTTTTTGTGGTATGAATTGTGCTTGTGCTTTTTTTTGTGCTTTTTTTTGTGCTCGGGAGCGCCGGAAAAGCACAAAAAAAAGCACAAAAAAGCACAAAAAAAGCACGAAAAAAGCACAATTTCTCTGGAAAAAATGAATCTCAGGCCACCTGGCCTCGACAGCCTTCGGACCAGCGGCCCGGCAAATGTCTCATACCATTTCCTTTTTTCCAACCTCCTTTCCAAAAAAAACTCTCAAGAGTGAGCCCATGCCAGGAGCGGGAATGTGAAAAAAAATGTAATTATCATATGATGTTTATTAAGAACCTCAACAACTATTGTTGGAGGCACGCCTTTGTAACGCTTTTCACTTATAACTTACAATGGTTGGACCGTTTGATTGCAGTATCTCGGTATCTCAGGTATGCTGCATTCAATATTGTAAAGAATGTCATGAGTCATAGTATCGTATCATCATATCGATGCAACACCTTGCATCATCATACCATATTATTGCCATTGCTATTTGACACACAAATATTCAGATAAACAAAATCATGTCAGCTGTCAGACTTCCCAGAACGATTCCAACGTTCCAACCATCAAAGGATATCAACAGCAACATCGATACTTTGATTTTTTGGCTAGTTGATGACAAGTTCAGCAAACATGTCCTGATGGCTCCAACAATATGGCGCAATACAAAAGGATGTTCGTTAAAATGATTTAAATGGTTTAACCACAAACAATGCCACCTGAAAGGTAGTGATGTTGTTGCATTCACTACTCCACCCTTTGTTACTTGTACGGCCCACCTAGATCACATCTTCTCCTAAGCAGACCCTAAGGATCCCCTAAAATGGCCTGAGTTACCACCAATATGATTGTGCTTTTTTGGTATGTGGTTTATGAAAGGGGGGCAGTTTTGAACTGTTAGTGGGCGGGGGCAGACCTCAATATATATATATATATAACCATAAAAAGATGGTTAGTATGGACCTAACCCCGATCTTTGTTCCATGGATTTCCCCTATCATTTTCATCTTCAGCTTTTCCCAATGGCCTGAGCTTCCTGAGCTTCCCCACAGCAGGTAGCCGTGCCAGTGCACCGAGAAGTAGTCCTCCGGACAGGTACTCACTGGACTCTCAGGCCAAACGATGTCCAGAACGGGGTCCACCTGGCGGTTTGTCGGAGTTGCCAACGGTAAAAAAAGATCAGCGATGCTTCAAAAATGATGAGATGATGATGAGATTATGATGAGATTATGACTTATGATAATCATTGTGATTCTGATAGATTATGATTGATAATCAGAGAGCTACCAGAAATTATGGAGAGACCATGCTTTGTGGATCTGGTCATCCGAAGAGGGCCACCCGCGTGTATTCGAAGAGGGCCAAGCCCTGATGCGGTCGGTCGCTGAGCAGGGAGACCAAGCTCTGGAAACCTGCGGCGATGGGAAACGCGACCGGATTCGCCGAGTTTTCTGAGTCTAAAAATGGGGGGGGTCAGCGTTTTACCAGGAAAATGTGGCCAAAATAGTATATAGATGTATATAGTATTTCCTAGTTTTTTGACAAACCCATGTCCCAAAATGGTTGAATCATGTTGAATCCCCTTTGTATACATTTTGACAGAGAAATAGGGGTTCCAAAGTCTGAGACAATCCCATCTTGGGTGTGTCAGAACTTGACTATTCCGAAATCCACTATTTGATCCTATGTTCACCATTGAAGCTACGGGGACGGGCAAGAAGAGTTGAGCATGTACAAATACTTTACCCTCTGGTAAATTAACATAGCTATTGATAATGACCATAGAAATAGTGGATTTTCCCATGAAAAATGGTGATTTTCCATAGTTATGTCAGTTTACCAGAGGGTACATAAAATGATGGCGCCCACAACCGTCCAGGTATCCTCCCAGAGCTTTCTCTCGGACAATTGTGCGGATTGTGCGACTCTCACGACATCCACTTTAGCTTTTCAAAAACAGAAAAAAAAAAAAACTATGGTAACAGACTAAAATACTATAGTTCTCATGGGTCTCAAACAGAAGAATCAGAAGATCTCTAGCTCCTGGTGACCAAATCTCGAGTGGATCATTCCCCTTTGGTGCCACTAAGATCACTTCCACCTTTCACCCCTTCGCTGCAACCTGGCGTTCGGTAGTAGCGCCCAATCAATCCACCGCGGGCTGAGAGCCTAGGTCGCAGCAACCATCCCCTCTGGGTCCAGGGATCCCTCGATGGGAAATCCACTTGGGGAATCTACTTCTTGGAATCGAAAAATCATGCCCACGTAGAAAAACCATAGGATTTCTCGTCGAAAAATTCCATCCACAATTTTTTGGCATCATCGAATCATCCATCCTAATCCCTGTCCCAGAAAACCAATCCCCCAACAAAACCCAAAAAAAAATCCCCAAATCCAGACATTTTCCCACGTGCTTCCCCCATCTACGAGGCTCCCACTGCGTCACCACCGAGTAGGCACCAACTTTGTTGATCTGGCTGGGTGACTTCCCCCCTCACTCCATCCCAAACCATAAATGCCAACCATCATCCATCTACGGCAAAAAAGTGGTGTTCTTTGAGGCATAATATTCCATCAATGGATTTCTTTAAGGGAAACAGGAAACCATGGATTTTCCCAGGAACTCTGGGGGGGGGTTCATTAAAAAGTTCTCCCTTAAACCAATCCATGGACTCTATGGCCGGTGGTTGCACAGCCCAAAAATATAAGTGACAAACATCGATGTGAATTTGAAAGAAAAAACACCAACTATCAACCAGTACTTCTGATCATGTTCAATGATATCAGTGATAAATATAGATCTATATTATATATATATACTGCTCATGATATATCCTATATCCTCTCATTAGAGATATCCATATGGATATACATATATGTACATCGAACATCGTTTCTGCCTGCAAGGGGAAGTCGTAGTTGTCATCCACCAGGCTGTAGGTGCCATCCACCTGCACAACCTCAAGGAAAGGGAGGTAGCTGGGTAGGTCGCATCTAGATGTAAAGATATGTAGATATGCAGATATTATATATATATTGGATATTGAAATATATTGAAATATAAAGTTGCTTATACCTGCAAATAGGCAATTAAAAATAGATGTGTTCCATATTGTATGTATGCAAATAGATAATCATGGATGAGTATGCCACATTTCTTTGCAATCATAGCCACACGTTCACACAACAATCTGAATCACAATCTCAGGTCTTTGCTGGTGCGGTGGAGTCGTCCATGTTGATAAACTCCGCCTGGGCAGATGCTTCCAGAGGCAAACTGTTCTCTAAAAAAAACAGCAAGCACAGTGGCAAAACCAGGCAGTTTTGGGTGTATGTACATAAATATTATATTATATTATATTATATATTAAAATATATTAAAATTATATCATGTATGTAATGTAATCTACTGTAAGGTAACGTAACGTTGCATGCATCTATGTATGTATGTATGTACAAATTTGGGTTGCGGTTGATCGTCAATTCGGATGCAAAGACTTTCGAGCCTCAGAAACCACTGCCCTTCACTGGCCGGTTTGCAACACGACGTTTGCGACAGGCCTTGATGAAGAGATCGTTGTCCACCACCTTATTGCTGTAGGTGTCCCGTGGAAAGCATTGGAACCTGCCAGTTGCACACGTTGCACACAGCCTGTCGGGGGTGAAATCTACAGGTTCCCGGACCCGAAATCACGGGGCGTTTCCTGTCGCTGTTCCAAAAAAACTGCTTGGAATCCGCAACCAGCACCAGGTATGACAGGTATGAGTACATTTGAGGGTTATTTTTAAAAATCTCCAGGAACAGCATCTTAAGTCGCTCATGTTACCACTTGAAATACCCCATTTACAAACGCTTTCACTGGAACAGCAACATATCTTTAGAAGTTGATTAGTCATATTCAAAGTTATCTTCCGAAATCTGCTTGACTTATATATTTAAACGTGCGGCCCAGCTATAACTCATACATATTGTGGGGTTCAAAAAAAAGATAGGAAAGCTGTTCCGGAGCATGTTTGACTCATCAGTTCCAATTCGTCCAACTTTTCTATCTACATATATCGGATAAAAATAAAAAAAAACGAAGCTTGAGATAGACTTTGATCATCTTTGATCTAGTTTCCAAGGTTTCTATCAGCAAAATCCATGAAAAATCCCAGCCCCATCCCCATCCAGGGCCCCCCCACGGCGTCTCAATCCCCGCAATGATCTGCGTGGGCGTCGCGCAGTCCGTTCCATCGAATTTGGCTGTGGAGCTGTTCACCTGCAGGGCCCATGGGGCCCATGGTGAGATGTTGTGATGGGAAAAAAATCTGTGAGATGTTTGGATAATTTGGATCAACGATTTTTGGGGGATTCATTTTGATGGGATAAATGTTGATCGGATATGGTTGGATGAGTGATAATGATGTCCCAAACCCATGTTGAAGAATATTGGGTGTATGCCAATTTTGAGCCCCCATGGCAAGGAAAGTGTCCAGTCAAAATGTGGAGTGCCCAAAGATCACGTTGACTACCCCTACAAAAGGGGAATGGTAGAGACCCTTGGCCTTCGAACACATGGGAATAGAACCCACTGTTGCGGCAACAAGCACCAAAATGTTGCGAACCTAACCAATCTATCCTCAGAATTACCAACCCTGCAAAATCTGTCAAGAAATGCGAGCTCTTGGAAGAGCTGGTTCCATCATTTTTGAGCACAATCTGAGGCGCAAACATCAATCTCCGGTGTGGGTGTGTTGGAAATCTGGACGCCGGCCCTGAGAGCACAGGAAAAAATCTCCGAAAAAGTCTCCGACCGCCATCAATCATGCCCTCAAATTAAATAGCTCCGGGCTTCTGAAAAAGAATATACGCAGAATATCCCAAAATGGTTTTCGAAACAGAGACATCTGAGCTGCCCACAAGGTAATCTGCAGAGGATGCTTTCCAGCCAGGTGAGTCCCCACGGCCACCGTCACGGTGCCGTTGTTGTGGTCCGTGTAGGCCAAAGTGCTGGGGCCAAAGCGACCCTGGGCGCCACATCAGCTGGGGAAAAAAGTGGCGTTCCGATTCGGAATCCATTTACCAACTTGGGAGTCCATCTATGAACTTCATTCTTTTTCAATCTTTTTCAAAAATACTTTTTCAAAAGTAAAAGTTCTGAATCAACATCCATTCTTCAAGAAAATACATCATCCACTTCCAAAAAAAAAACGAACATCTCGGCGAATCTCTTGGCAGCTCCCCCTCCACCAGTGCCTGGAAGAGAAGGGTGGGTGAGCTGCTGGTGCGGTTGTTCCCAAACTGGTCACGCAGCTGCACCAGCGCATCCACCGTCACACCGGCCAGGTAGCCTTTGGGAAAGCTACGGAAGTTGCGGTACCGGAAGACAGTCACATCACTTGGAAAGGGAGAGGTTCAGAAAATGTGAAGTATTCGAAGTGAACATTCAGACCGAAACTTGGGATGAACTTGGGTTTTCATGAACCAAAATTTGGGATGTCACCAGCAGTCTTTTGGGAGACGTGAAACCCTCCCAGAAATGCCTTCACGAAAATGTCGAAGCAACCACTCAGCAAGCCACTCCCCCAACATATTTGGAGCTTTGGAGCAGAAAATTCCACACTTGCTGCAGTGGCTACCGACCCCGTTGCGCCGTTGGGCTTTCCAGGGTCCGTGCTGGACTGAACATTGTAAACTGCCGTGTTTGCGGGCGAGACCTCAAGCCAAAGTTGAGCCAAGAAACTGGTGCCTCAACGTGTCAGCATCTGGAATTATCCAAACCATACCTAAAACCATGTCTCAACGGATGGTCAGGTTTTCACATTTTTTTTTCTTGCCATAGGCTTTTACCCCCAATTTGATCTGGGACTATAAACCACGCTTCAAGCTCATGTTTCTCCCTTCGATCTGGAATCAACCCTGGGTTGCCCCACTGCTGCTGGCTCCACAAACAACGGAAAGGGACCCTGGGTCATGTTCAATATCCTGGCACCAAGGCAAGCGAAGTGGAAAATGGTCCATTTAGTAACCGATCATTTACCTATTGGAAATGGTGATAATTCATGGCTATGTTAGATTACTAGAGGGGTGTTCATCATTTGAGAGTGGCCAAGCCAAGCAATGATATGAGAACATGGGCATGGGTAATCGCCCTCCAAGAAATTGTTTCGTTTTCCAGCCTTTCCACAAAGCATGACCCAAGATCCTGAAGAAATCTGTGGCTCACCAGACTACATATCTCCTCAGCATCAACCCAAAGAAAACGCCGGGCGAACCCCAGCTGTGACATTTCCAACTTGGAGATTTCCACGCCGCCCACTTGAACGGACCTGGTCTGGTGGGAAGTGGAGGAGCAGCGATTAAGGATGATGAGTATTGTTGTCAGTATTATATAGTGAGTATCATCATTATTTTGTAATTGCTATCATTCTTATCATGACTGTGTCTGATCATGATCATCACAGAAACTACTATTGTTGTTTTGATGGCTCATTGTTTTTGTAGTTGCTATCGTTATTATCGTGATTGATTCTATGATTATCATTACAGCCATTATATATATATATTATATTATAATATTGGTGGTTTTTTTTAAATGACTATCATGATTACCATCTGGTTATGACTAACAGTTTGCCATGGGAAATCATCATTTTTAAGTTCGGTAAACCATCTATAAATGAGACATTTCCCATGATCATGATGATGACGACCATGAAGATCGGCTCCTTAAGCACCCGACATGAGGCGATCTCCACTGACGCTGGGAGTCACCCGGCAATCGTAGAGACCGGTGCTACCACCCGTGGCCGGGGTACAGACCTTATATAACCATGGTGGACGATGCCACGGATGGGATGGGCCATCATCATCCATAATCAATTTAGATAGAATATCCAGAATATCCAGAAAATCTGAAGATTTTAATACTGGTTTGAAAAAAAAAATAACGGTGACAAAGTCATAGTAAGTAGTTATAGTAGGCAGAAAACAATAGTTCCAGTTTCGGAAAAGGCAAACAGAACACAAGAAGGACTGGCAGAACGGGATTGAAGAAGTTAAGCAGAACAGTAACACCCCAACAGAGAAACTGAAGAACCAGAACGGAGCCACGGATCTTGGGAATGCCATGGAAAGCAAACGCATGTTTCAGTGGAAATTTCCAACCCTCCAAGCTCCTCACACCATCATCCACCTGGCAGAGGAATCCATCTTTCATCATGGAACTACCACTTTGGTTACCGCTTAGCGTTGCTATGATTTGCCCAACTGTTTTCTTCCTGGTGAAGATTCGCCCAAAACATAAACATCATAAACGTCATAAATATCATAAACGTCATAAACCCAAACATTCTTCGGGGGTCACGTGACTGGCACCTGGGTCACTGGTGGCTGCGAGCTCACACGGATGGTGATTGCTCCAGTGGCCGAGGATGCCCTGAAAAAGCCATGGCTGGGCGGGTTTTGGCTGGGAAAGATCCATGTTTTCATGGGAAAAATGGTGGGAAAATGGTGGGAAATCCTCTATCAATGGCAGATTTTGGCAGATTTGCCATCATGTTTGATTGCCAGAGGAATAGACCTCAAGCCATGAAACCCTTAATGGAAGTGGCTGAGAACTCTGGTTCTCTCGGGGTCACTGTGAGAACGAAGGAATGAAATCATGTCGTGAGCAGTTCGACAATGGTAGGTCGCTTTGGATGCCCTTTGTTCAGATATGTTAAGATTCCTACATTCAATTCTTCAATTGTGGTATTTTTGTTGGCCCAATGTACAAGCAAAATTAAGTTGAAGTTTCAAGAGTCCCTACAGATTTGGTGAACACCCACGAGAATTGATGTGGAAAAACAAAAGCGCTGCACATGTTTTTTGTTTGGATATCATAGAGGGAATGGTGTTTGACCTGTCCAGTGGGAACTTTTGTCCATTGGAGTTGCTCCATTATGCAATGACCTTAGCTCACCGAAGGCTCCCCCGTTTTCGTAACTGAGTTGTTCAGGCAGGATGTTTCCATAGGCATCTCTCAACTGCACTTGGAAGGTGATCTCATCTCCAGCCACCGCCTTGGTACTGTGGTACTGGCTATGGCAACCCCAAAAAAGATAGAAAGGTACCCTCTGGTTATGACTAACATAGCCATGGAAAATCTTTTATAAATGGAGGTTTTAATGGGAAAATTCACTATAAATGGGCCATTTTTCATGGCTATGTTTAAAAAAAACAGATGGTAATTCCTCACTATTTTAGGATTGGATTTTACCAACTTCTATCTGTTTGGGGTTTGCCATGAATAGTCTGGGATATAGCTATGCATTAGATCATATCCGAAAATGCTAACATGTTGGGAGTTTCTTGACATGGTTGGAACACCAAAATCATCCAAAATTCATCATAAATCATTACATTCACTACATATTGAACGATCCCTTTTTGGAGAGCTGTTGGAGACTTGTTCTCAAATGGTCTCGTGCTTTGTCATGAATTTCTTAAGGGATCCATGACATCCACCGGGATGATCCCAACCCAAATATATCAATTGGATATGTGTTGATTCCCCAATTTTTCTATGTGAAGAATATCAACAACATCTCATCCATCCTATTCCATCCTCATATGACTATGTATGACTCATATTCTTCACTGATATCAATTGGCCTTTCCCATCCCCATCCCTGGCATCCCTTGCCCCAGCTGGGCTCCCCCCGCGGTGCTGGGCGGCTTGGAACTCTCAGCCAGGCTCTTGGGACCATAGGCCGCGGCGGCGGAGGCGCCCCGCAGGCTGAAGGGCGACTCGAAGATGTTGCCGCCGTTGATCTGCGAACACGACACGGGACGACACGGGACATGGGGGGATGGGAAGATTGTCTTCCAATGGGGAATATATCACACTCTAATATAGATGTGCTGGGAAACTACATATATATATATATGTATATGTGTGAAGGGACATTTTAGGGCTAAGATATGACTGAGATGGAGTTGAAGATGGAATCATGTTGCATTTCATCAGTGACTTATCATTAGTCTACTGGACCAACAACCATCTCCTAACGTTTTGGAGCCTGTGGATATTGAACTCCATCGATCCTCTTCACACAAGGGACCAACAAAGTTGCTGAGCCAGGCCTTCACAAAGAGCTTGTGGCTGCCTTCACGCAAAGCTGTATATTTGATCTCATACCTGGGCAAAAAATCAGCCATCCCAAGGGTGGGTTAGCATTTTCTGGAAACTTACAGTGACTTACCTTTGAATCCACTGATGCAAATAGATAAACCATCCGATGATGTCGGAAGATCTTCGGGAGCCGATGCAGTCAAGAAAACCTCAAGGCTCCGACTCTCCGTTGCCGATGTAGCTGGATGTGCCATAGAAATACCTGGTTGTTCCATTCATTCAAGTCGAAACAAAACTCCAAACGGAGTTCCTGGCAAAAAAAAAAGTCGGGTTATCCCCACTATAGATTGTGAACAGCCTAAAGAAAGGGTCCAAATATGGATTAAAAGGACATGCTGGAAACAAATTGTTCAAATGTGCAACTACCAATCCAAAAAGCAGATCGGCATCCCTGCCTTCCAAACTCTGCACTGTTCAGCGGTGTATCATCCAGCACGTTCATGGTCTCAGTACATGGTGGGATACAGATGATACGGTTACACCACGCGTCATGGACACCCTGCTCCGAAAAAGAAGGCAGCATTCAGAGCACACCGTTATCACATTGACATCTTCATGTCCTTAACAACATTGAAACAAACATGGCTGGGAAATGCTGGGAAGTTTCATGTTTTAATCCCATCCCAAAAGAAAGGGTGCAAGAATTTTCCCATATATCCAAAACAGAGGTTAGTAAATGTCCCTTTTTGGGGATTTGCTTCACATCACCTTCGTATCTGTTGGAGACTACAGCCCCCAGTTGGGTGATGTGAATAACTAAGACATTTAAGACATCTTTCAACCCCCAAATATTCATGGATCTCAAGTAGCCACGGATTTTCATCTGATAAATCCGAGAAGTCCCAATCCTTCAGAAAATCCCAATCCAATGTCCGAGGCGTCCACTGTCAAAGTGTTGTAGGATTCCCAGTCAATGGAAGCCGTGACGTCCCCTACCTGGCAGCAAAGACGAAGCCCTTCCACCCATAAACATATCAAGAAAGGCAAATAAGAAACTCTGGTAATTTGTTACATAGCTGTTGAAAATGGTCATTTATAGTTATTTACCCATTCAAAATGGTGATTTTCCATAGTTCTGTTAGTTTACCAGAGGGTATACATTGAATGAATCTTTTGCATTTGAAAAAAAATCGAGGATTTTTGGAATGATCCGCTGACGACTTTGGAATTTCTGACAGTCTGAGCATCTTTGAAAAAGAACCACAAAAAAAGAGATAGGCAGATTATTTAAGAGGTTATAACTTATAACACAGACTAAAAGATTGCTATAACTATAACTAAAATAACTCATGATCATCATTATCTGACTCTCGATCTATGAATCTATGATTTGTTTGCATATGTTTTCCACCGATCCGCCAATTTAGGGCCTCTTCATCCAGTGGATTGCCATAGGCATCTCTGGCTTGCACGAAGAAGCTGGCTTCAGTGCCGGCTGTAAACTCGATTGCTCCCTGGGCCCAAATCAGAGCATCATGGGTTTTTGGTCACGGCAACGTTCCCACGGTGAAACCAATGTATCCCATAGAAATTGATGTCAATGTGGAAATCTTGGACAAAGAAAAACCACTTCTGACACATCCTCTTCGGCAACGGAACTGGCCTTCTACATGCAGAACTGAGCCATTTGGGGATGGGTTCAAGTCACATTTTGTGCACCGGGAACCATAGTTCTTGTTTAGTCTGAAAGCATCCACTTTGAGGCAGCTCATCATTTTTACCCCTAACTATTGGTGATAATATATATATATATGTACATATGGTGATATTCCCTTTTAACTTCCAACTATATATTTGCTGATAATCCCCTATCGATGATGGGGATTGCATGGATTCTTCTGACTGAGTCACCGCACAAGGCCAGTGACCGTTGAGTGGGCCGAAGAGACCCGGCCGGGTCTGGCGATGAATTGGAAAGGACTGTCCTGCAGGGTGAATGGGTTGTGGGTATAGCAAGCCCCAAAAAAGATCCCAAAAGTGATTTACATAGAATTTATCACTACTCTAGGATTGGATTGTACCAACTTCCATCACTTCCATCTTTTTGAGCTTTACTATATCTGCAAAAATTGCTGTGTTGCGCCAAGTTCTAAGTATCAAGCCATCCAAACTTGGAGCTCAATCAAAATTGAGCCAATCTCAAAAGAGTTGGGGATGCTGGGATGCTTAGGACATTGGATTTGGGCAAAGCATTGAATGGAAGGGTCCTTGACAGGCCGCCCATTCAACGACACGGACACGCGGTAGGTGCCGGCCACGTTCACCAAGTACCTGCCATCGAATACCCAAAAATGGTTGACCAATCATTAAATCTGTTCGAAAACTCTATAGCTACCCCCCAAAAAAGTTGTTGATCTTCACCACTTTTTAGGATTTTTGTTGTTGGGGCCAAATCCCATCTGCTGCTTGGGCACTCAACTTTGTAAAGCCCATCCATGGCATCCGGATTCACCTCGCGACATGCAGCAAACTTTGCCACAAAAATCCTGGGTTGAGATCCTCGAAATTAGAGAAAGATTAAAAAAAAAACATCTTGGCTCTCAAAAATATCATGTTAATATCATGCTAATGTCATGTTAATATCATGTTAATGTCATCCATTTCTTCATATTTCAGACATGTCACTGCAGCCCGGATCCACCACTGGGCCCACTGGGCTGGCCGCGCCGGTGAGGAGACCACGGTGAAGGTCACCGGGCCATTGAAGGTCACCTGAAAGACTTCCTGGTTGCTCTTCAGCAAGTTGTCCGCCTCGGACATCCCTTGCCATCCCCTGCCGGCTGGGACGTTCTGCGGACGTGATGTCTGCTAGAAATTATGTAACATCATGGGGGTTAGAATTGGTCATTATATAATGTTATGATATGTTATATAATTATATACATTTATATACCACCATATTATGGGGAGATGATATGATGAGATCACGGCAGATTCCGAACCAACATGAATCTGATACCTGAGCGTCTCTGAAAATGAGGCTGGTACACTGTCTACTCCAATGCATTGCCAGTTCCATTGGGAGAATGAGGGCTTTAACATTTGTAGGTATGGATGACGTCATGCGATGAAGTTTATCCCACAAAATCGCTGATCATTTGCAGAATGGTGGCCTTGCAGTGACCTTGGCACCAAAGCCATCTTTTCACAACGCTCAGCTACGGACCGTATCTTTGGCCTGGATGTAGAAAGCACGAGACCTCAACAAAAACATGCCCCACATAAGGCTGAAAGACATCAGGGCGCTGTATGTCGGCAACCCACAGGCTACATGATGGAGAGCGCAGCCATGTTCAGGCATAGGGAGCTGTATGTCGGCAACCTACAGGCTACATGATTGGAGCACAGTGGAAGGAAACAGCCAAGTTGAGGCATCAGGGAGCTGTATGTCGGCAACCTACAGCCTGCATGATGGGTGCAGTGGGAGGGCACAGAGTTCAGGTATCAGGGAGCTGTATGTCGGCAACCTACAAGCTACATGATTGGAGCACAGTGGAAGGAAACAGCCAAGTTGAGGCATCAGGGAGCTGTATGTCGGCAACCTACAGGCTACATGATTGGGTGCAGTGGGAGGGCACAGCCAAGTTCAGGCATCAGGGAGCTGTATGTCGGCAACCTACAAGCTACATGATTGGAGCACAGTGGAAGGAAACGGCCAAGTTGAGGCATCAGGGAGCTGTATGTCAGCAGCCTGCATGATGGGTGCAGTGGGAGGGCACAGCCAAGTTCAGGCATCAGGGAGCTGGATGTCGGCAACCTACAAGCTACATGATTGGAGCACAGTGGAAGGAAACGGCCAAGTTCAGGCATCAGGGAGCTGTATGTCGGCAACCTACAGGCTACATGATTGGAGCACAGTGGGAGGAAACAGCCAAGTTCAGGCATCAGGGACCTGTATGTCGGCAACTTGCCAGCAACCTACAGCCTGCATGATGGGTGCAGTGGGAGGGCACAGCCAAGTTCAGGCATCAGGGAGCTGTATGTCGGCATCCTACAAGCTACATGATTGAAGCACAGTGGAAGGAAACAGCCAAGTTGAGGCATCAGGGAGCTGTATGTCGGCAACCTACAGCCTGCATGATGGGTGTAGTGGGAGGGCACAGCCAAGTTCAGGCATCAGGGAGCTGTATGTCGGCAACCTACAGGCTACATGATTGGAGCACAGTGGAAAGAAACAGCCAAGTTCAGGCATCAGGGAGCTGTATGTCGGCAACTTACAGCCTGCATCAGGGGTGCAGTGGGAGGGCACAGCCAAGTTCAGGCATCAGGGAGCTGTATGTCGGCAACCTACAAGCTACATGATTGGAGCACAGTGGAAGGAAACAGCCAAGTTCAGGCATCAGGGAGCTGTATGTCGGCAACCTACAGGCTTCATGATTGGAGCACAGTGGAAGGAAACAGCCAAGTTGAGGCATCAGGGAGCTGTATGTCGGCAACCTACAAGCTACATGATTGGGTGCAGTGTGAAGGCACAGCCAAGTTGAGGCATCAGGGAGCTGCATGTCGGCAACCTACAGCCTGCATGATGGGTGCAGTGGGAGGGCACAGCCAAGTTCAGGCATCAGGGAGCTGTATGTCGACAACCTACAGGCTACATGATTGGAGCACAGTGGGAGGAAACAGCCAAGTTCAGGCATCAGGGAGCTGTATGTCGGCAACCTACAGGCTACATGATTGGAGCACAACCGGAGGAAACAGCCAAGTTCAGGCATCAGGGAGCTGTATGTCGGCAACCTACAGGCTACATGATTGGAGCACAGTGGAAGGAAACAGCCAAGTTGAGGCATCAGGGAGCTGTATGTCGGCAACCTACAGCCTGCATGATGGGTGCAGTGGGAGGGCACAGCCAAGTTGAGGCATTCAGGGAGCTGTATGTCGGCAACCTACAGGCTACATGATTGGAGCACAGTGGGAGGAAACAGCCAAGTTCAGGCATCAGGGAGCTGTATGTCGGCAACCTACAGGCTACATGATTGGAGCACAGTGGAAAGAAACAGCCAAGTTCAGGCATCAGGGAGCTGTATGTCGGCAACCTACAGGCTACATGATTGGAGCACAGTGGAAGGAAACAGCCAAGTTGAGGCATCAGGGAGCTGTATGTCGGCAACCTACAGGCTACATGATTGGAGCACAGTGGGAGGAAACAGCCAAGTTCAGGCATCAGGGAGCTGTATGTCGGCAACCTACAGGGTACATGATTGGAGCACAGTGGAAGGAAACAGCCAAGTTGAGGCATCAGGGAGCTGTATGTCGGCAACCTACAGGCTACATGATTGGAGCACAGTGGGAGGAAACAGCCAAGTTCAGGCATCAGGGAGCTGTATGTCGGCAACCTACAGGCTACATGATTGGAGCACAGTGGGAGGAAACAGCCAAGTTCAGGCATCAGGGAGCTGTATGTCGGCAACCTACAGGCTACATGATTGGAGCACAGTGGAAGGAAACAGCCAAGTTCAGGCATCAGGGAGCTGTATGTCGGCACCTACAGGCTACATGATTGGAGCACAGTGGGAGGAAACAGCCAAGTTCAGGCATCAGGGAGCTGTATGTCGGCAACCTACAGGCTACATGATTGGAGCACAGTCGGAGGAAACAGCCAAGTTCAGGCATCAGGGAGCTGTATGTCGGCAACCTACAGGCTACATGATTGGAGCACAGTGGGAGGAAACAGCCAAGTTCAGGCATCAGGGAGCTGTATGTCGGCAACCTACAGCCTGCATGATGGGTGCAGTGGGAGGGCACAGAGTTCAGGCATCAGGGAGCTGTATGTCGGCAACCTACAAGCTACATGATTGGAGCACAGTGGAAGGAAACAGCCAAGTTGAGGCATCAGGGAGCTGTATGTCGGCAACCTACAGGCTACATGATTGGGTGCAGTGGGAGGGCACAGCCAAGTTCAGGCATCAGGGAGCTGTATGTCGGCAACCTACAAGCTACATGATTGGAGCACAGTGGAAGGAAACGGCCAAGTTGAGGCATCAGGGAGCTGTATGTCAGCAGCCTGCATGATGGGTGCAGTGGGAGGGCACAGCCAAGTGCAGGCATCAGGGAGCTGGATGTCAGCAACCTACAAGCTACATGATTGGAGCACAGTGGAAGGAAACGGCCAAGTTCAGGCATCAGGGAGCTCAGGGAGCTGTATGTCGGCAACCTACAGGCTACATGATTGGAGCACAGTGGGAGGAAACAGCCAAGTTCAGGCATCAGGGAGCTGTATGTCGGCAACCTACAGGCTACATGATTGGAGCACAGTGGGAGGAAACAGCCAAGTTCAGGCATCAGGGACCTGTATGTCGGCAACTTGCCGGCAACCTACAGCCTGCATGATGGGTGCAGTGGGAGGGCACAGCCAAGTTCAGGCATCAGGGAGCTGTATGTCGGCATCCTACAAGCTACATGATTGAAGCACAGTGGAAGGAAACAGCCAAGTTGAGGCATCAGGGAGCTGTATGTCGGCAACCTACAGCCTGCATGATGGGTGTAGTGGGAGGGCACAGCCAAGTTCAGGTATCAGGGAGCTGTATGTCGGCAACCTACAAGCTACGTGATTGGAGCACAGTGGAAGGAAACAGCCAAGTTGAGGCATCAGGCAGCTGTATGTCGGCAACCTACAGCCTGCATGATGGGTGCAGTGGGAGGGCACAGCCAAGTTCAGGCATCAGGGAGCTGTATGTCGGCAACCTACAGGCTACATGATTGGAGCACAGTGGAAAGAAACAGCCAAGTTCAGGCATCAGGGAGCTGTATGTCGGCAACTTACAGCCTGCATCAGGGGTGCAGTGGGAGGGCACAGCCAAGTTCAGGCATCAGGGAGCTGTATGTCGGCAACCTACAAGCTACATGATTGGAGCACAGTGGGAGGAAACAGCCAAGTTCAGGCATCAGGGAGCTGTATGTCGGCAACCTACAGGCTTCATGATTGGAGCACAGTGGGAGGAAACAGCCAAGTTCAGGCATCAGGGAGCTGTATGTCGGCAACCTACAAGCTACATGATTGGGTGCAGTGTGAAGGCACAGCCAAGTTGAGGCATCAGGGAGCTGTATGTCGGCAACCTACAGCCTGCATGATGGGTGCAGTGGGAGGGCACAGCCAAGTTCAGGCATCAGGGAGCTGTATGTCGGCAACCTACAGGCTACATGATTGGAGCACAGTGGGAGGAAACAGCCAAGTTCAGGCATCAGGGAGCTGTATGTCGGCAACCTACAGGCTACATGATTGGAGCACAGTCGGAGGAAACAGCCAAGTTCAGGCATCAGGGAGCTGTATGTCGGCAACCTACAGGCTACATGATTGGAGCACAGTGGAAGGAAACAGCCAAGTTGAGGCATCAGGGAGCTGTATGTCGGCAACCTACAGCCTGCATGATGGGTGCAGTGGGAGGGCACAGCCAAGTTGAGGCATTCAGGGAGCTGTATGTCGGCAACCTACAGGCTACATGATTGGAGCACAGTGGGAGGAAACAGCCAAGTTCAGGCATCAGGGAGCTGTATGTCGGCAACCTACAGGCTACATGATTGGAGCACAGTGGAAAGAAACAGCCAAGTTCAGGCATCAGGGAGCTGTATGTCGGCAACCTACAGGCTACATGATTGGAGCACAGTGGAAGGAAACAGCCAAGTTGAGGCATCAGGGAGCTGTATGTCGGCAACCTACAGGCTACATGATTGGAGCACAGTGGGAGGAAACAGCCAAGTTCAGGCATCAGGGAGCTGTATGTCGGCAACCTACAGGGTACATGATTGGAGCACAGTGGGAGGAAACAGCCAAGTTCAGGCATCAGGGAGCTGTATGTCGGCAACCTACAGGCTACATGATTGGAGCACAGTGGGAGGAAACAGCCAAGTTCAGGCATCAGGGAGCTGTATGTCGGCAACCTACAGGCTACATGATTGGAGCACAGTGGGAGGAAACAGCCAAGTTCAGGCATCAGGGAGCTGTATGTCGGCAACCTACAGGCTACATGATTGGAGCACAGTGGGAGGAAACAGCCAAGTTCAGGCATCAGGGAGCTGTATGTCGGCAACCTACAGGCTACATGATTGGAGCACAGTGGAGGAAACAGCCAAGTTCAGGCATCAGGGAGCTGTATGTCGGCAACCTACAGGCTACATGATTGGAGCACAGTGGAAGGAAACAGCCAAGTTCAGGCATCAGGGAGCTGTATGTCGGCAACCTACAGCTACATGATGGGTGCAGTGGGAGGGCACAGCCAAGTTCAGGCATCAGGGAGCTGTATGTCGGCAACCTACAGGCTACATGATTGGAGCACAGTGGGAGGAAACAGCCAAGTTCAGGCATCAGGGAGCTGTATGTCGGCAACCTACAGGCTACATGATTGGAGCACAGTGGGAGGAAACAGCCAAGTTCAGGCATCAGGGAGCTGTATGTCGGCAACCTACAGGCTACATGATTGGAGCACAGTGGGAGGAAACAGCCAAGTTCAGGCATCAGGGAGCTGTATGTCGGCAACCTACAGGCTACATGATTGGAGCACGGAGGAAACAGCCAAGTTCAGGCATCAGGGAGCTGTATGTCGGCAACCTACAGGCTACATGATTGGAGCACAGTGGAAGGAAACAGCCAAGTTGAGGCATCAGGGAGCTGTATGTCGGCAACCTACAGGCTACATGATTGGAGCACAGTGGGAGGAAACAGCCAAGTTCAGGCATCAGGGAGCTGTATGTCGGCAACCTACAGGCTACATGATTGGAGCACAGTGGGAGGAAACAGCCAAGTTCAGGCATCAGGGAGCTGTATGTCGGCAACCTACAGGCTACATGATTGGAGCACAGTTGGAGGAAACAGCCAAGTTCAGGCATCAGGGAGCTGTATGTCGGCTGACCAGCAAATCATGAAAACTTCAGTCTGAGATTATGGACTCCAAACATCTGGCGGCGGTCAGATACTCGCCATAGGCCACGGAATTGTCTGCGTTCACGGTGCCCGTTGCCACCTGGCCGAGGCCGTGACTGTGCCTGGCCACCTTCCCTGGCAGCATTGCCCAGCCTCTAAGAGGACCGGTGCACCGTTGATGATGGGCCCCTTGAAGAGCTTGCCAGGATTGATGAAGCCTGGCATAGAGGTTCCCTAGGCAAAGGTTTAAACAGGTTCGAACATCAGCCCAAGGGGAAAGCATGGGATTTGGAGGATCACCTATTTGCCACCTAGATCTTAAGCTATACCAACCATCCAATTTTGGCCCAACTCTCCCAGGTTTTTTGTGGAAAAAATCGATCCTCACCTCTGGGGGTCGAGAAGGAGGCCCACTCCAAACTGAGTGTGGCATTGCCAGCGACCTGGCTCCGATCCCCATGCCCATGCCGTGCCAACTTGAAACGTGGCAACGACGATTCAACGGCGAGATTTTGGGAACAGAAACTAGATGAAACATGATGAAACTAGGAATAACAAGCCAAAAAGCCAAAAAGCTAAACCTCAAGAGAATCGATGTTCCGCCAACTTCATCCACTTTTTGGCGACCCAATGGCTATCCAGTGGACCTCTCGAAACTCAAGGCGGATGGAAGCCAATTCACCGGCCGTGAGAGCAATGTTGCCCCAGAACTCCTAGCAACAGTTCACCAGAGCAAGATGGATCCCCCTGTGTTAGCGAAAAAGGGGAAGCTCTGCCATGGAGGAAAAACTGTTGGCCGATGGGACAGACTCCTGGCAACACACATCCCACTTGTCGAAGACCATGACGCCATTCACCCAAAGCCTGGCGATGAATTCATCCAGTGACCCCGATGTTGGGCATCCCATCAACGGCATTCCCAGGATCATGGCTATATCAATCCCTGATTGATGACCATCCAATACTGGCAGCATGGCACATTGAGCCCAATCTTCCAAGAGTTGAATCCCAATTCGACCCTTCACAGCGGAAACCATCCAACACCGCACCTGGCAGAATCGTCCGCATTGACGTAGAAAGTGTAAGTTTCTGAGTAGTCCGGCAGCACGAAACCTGCCATAGGCGAACTTGCACGCGCTGCGCTACAAAGGTCGTCGACCCAACCCAGAAAGGAAGAGTTATGTCGCCCGGATCTCATAATGTATTTTGGTTTGATCCATCTTGATACACTTGCTTCTTAGAGTTCCACGGGCTAATTGAAGAGTCAAGATGTGAGCAACCATCAAATAGATGGACCCCAATCGCTGGCTTTACCATCTTCACCTGTCAAATATCCTCCAAAAAAGATATCTTAAAAGGACATTAGACACTAATTCCTTTCCAAACACAGAAAAATAGCCGCGAAGTCCGAAGACGCCAAATGGGTGTGTCTGAAAATGGCTTATATCAGTTATATCCAGTATATCCCCATGAAATAGCCATGCTTAACTCATGTTTTATCATTTTTTGAGGAAAATGACGATTCACCATCCCTCAACCATAGCCCCCGCACCTGTCCACCGCACGGAGACGTAGTCCGAGGCGTAAAGCGCCACAGCGCCCAGGCCCCAGTTGAAATCTCGGCGTTTTCTGGTGGTTTTAGGGGTCCAATTGAAACATCATTGCATCGCTCTGGGAAAGTAGGTCTACATATCTTCAACTAATGTCCATTAGATTATGTGTCTTTTGGATGAAGTTGGAAAGATTGCAAAGATCATGACATCAATTTCGGGTGAAGCATCCATTTCCATCCATTTCCCAGGCACCGGAACCGTCCCCTGTCATCCACTTTGAACGGACCGTAAACTGACGCCTTTGGTTTCAAGGTGCGGAAACAGGCGACCACCCACCCCGGAAACAGGACATCCGGAGAGGCGTCGATGCATAACTATGGTGAGACATGGAGGGTGGAGAGCCCTAAGTCTTGTGACCGGCCCATCTTTCACCAAACTCACCGAGCTTTTCTCATGAGACTCCCATAAATGTTAGGGCTAGGGACTTTTGTAATCCACCAATATGTTCCATGCAGCTGCTCCAATCATCATCAACCACCCAAGGGAGTTCGTTCCACCGTCCGGAACTTCTCATTGGAAAATGGACGCGATGGAGCAGCTTCAGTCCTGCGCCGGGCAACCACTTGGCACTGTAAAAAGTTTCAGGAAACCATAATCCCTTCCCCCCATATGTATCCCATATGTTAAATGCCCTAAAAATCCCTGGCTTAGTAGTGGATCTATTATTCATTTTTTGAGCCGACATGGGGTGCATTTCATATATGGGAGGTAGAAATGGGAAATAGTCCAAATTCATGCCGTTTTCATGGGGAAAAGGACGTTTTCATTGGAGTTTGGCGCCTGTTTTCAAACCTAACTGGTAACTGGACCTTTAAGTAGGAGAAATTGCAGAAACACGGATCATGCAACCAATTTCTGAATCTCTTCCGCCCAATCTCCAGAAGTCAGCAGCACATCTGGGCACCTTTTTCCAGAAGAAGCTCTGGAGTGAAACGCCACTATGGTACGAGTTTCCCAGCAGAAACTATTGGGTATGAAGGATCTGGGGCCTGCTACCAGTTGCTTTGACTGGCTCAGCTGTGTGTCCAAAACCATCACTTTCCACATGAAAAGTGCCATAAATTGGTGGATATACCCCATTTCTGGACACCAAATAAAGTTGACCTCACAGGTCGCTAGAGAACCTGAACTCTTGGAGGATTCAAGGCCATTGCTTCCAGCAGAATCCGCCGCAGTTCATAGTAGGCCTCACAGGCCTCTTCCTGCAAATCCAGAAAGGCCGGTGTGGCCGGCATAGTGGCCAACATCGGTTCCAGTTGTTCCAAGCACTGAAGCATCAGAGGTTTCACATGTGCCCACTCCGCCCCAGCTGGAACTGCTGGAGATGCCACTGAACTCCCAGCCCTTTCCCTCAGCTCCCGTTGTAGCCGCTCGTTCTCCCGCCGCAACCGTTGCAGCTCGCCAGTCTCGCGGCTCGGCGCACTGATGGCCCCCATGGCCCCCGTGGCCCGCAGCTCCTGCAGCTCGGTGGTCATCTCCTCCAGGGCCCTGCGGTGCTTCAGCAGCTCCTGCTGCAAGGCATCCAGGTCTCCCAGCCGCAGGTCCAGCTCGGAATCCCGGGCCGTCAGCCATTGACTCATGACGTCCAGGCCGAAGACCAGGTGGATCATACTCCCCAGCACCTCAGGGTTCTTCGCATACATCGCGGTGTTTTCCAGGATACTTTCCTGCACCTCTCGGAGGTCCAGATCCAGCTTGCTATCTCTCAGCTCCTCAAGGCATAGGACAGCCAAAAATGTCACATGGCTTCTGTGTTTGAAATCATCATCCTAATGTTTCGAATGGAAAAAGGAAAAAGTTCGAACCCAATATTAAAAGAAAGTAAATTAACAATAGGTGACACTTGGTGTGGTTTATTGTTGGGTTTATCACCTGGATCTATTATTGGTTAAATTTCCTGCATTCATTGGTGGTAGACTCCGTTTGTATCATCCTTATCCTCGTTGATTTTCTTGCTCATCAATGTGTAGCCCCTATTTTGTGGTTGATTTAAGCACTATCATTGTTGATGAATTCCCTAAATCCCCACAACGGGATCATCATCCAATATCCAACTATGACTTGTTAATATAGAAACCCTCTAAGCATCACCTGTATTTCTAATGATTGCTACATCATAATCCAAGAATATCCAAGATATCTCAAGTTGATATAGTTTTCCCCCAAAAAATCTCCCCAACCCCAACCCCAGGCCCACCAGGTCCTCCAGATCCTGCAGCAGTTGCTGCACCGCCTCCTGGCCGTGCGCCAACTTCCGCCGGCCCTCCGCCAGCGCCCGCAGCGCCGCCTCGGCGCGCGGCCGGACTGCCGCGGCTGGGCGGTGCCATGCCATGCCGTGGGGCCGTCGCAACCGGGGGCAGTTGGGATCTGAAGAAATTTCCAGAGTTGGGAAAACTTTCTGCTGATTTTTTGGGGATCAAAATTGAGTTGTGAAGAAAAACTAGAGATGATTGGAACAAAACCAATCAAGATGATTGGTTAGAGTCCACTAACAAATTGTCACTTGCCAAAGAGACGATGCCTGCAAAGTTCCAAAGTCGATGCAACGTGCGCGGGAAGTCGCTGTCTTTCTTGGGACTTGTTAAGTTGGGTTGCTGCAAGCAGCTGCAGAATCTGACCGCTTCGCTGCCTGGACAATCCCAAATGACCCCCAGCCTTCGCAACAAAAAATGCAAAGCCCAAATGTGCGCCTCATCCAGGCGCTGCCAGCCGCGGGGCGTATTCCTCTGATCGCCCCAGTGTTCCAACTCCGCCTGCATCTTCTCGCAGTGCGCCAGCAGCTGTTCCTCAGGTCGAAGCGATCCAGCTGGGATCCCAGATGGCCAAGGTTTTGATTAAAAAAACATGGGCGATGCCAAGTTCTCATCCATGTCATCCAAGTCTTGTGAGTCATTTCTTAGAAATGATGGAAACCAATGGTGAGAAAAGGTGTTTTCCACATTTTGAAGCCCGGAAAACTCGCACCCGCAGCCGAGGAAATAAGAAAAATTCGAAGCAGCTTCAGTTGTCACAGCTGAGATTCAAAGTCGAGGATGGGTGAGGCATCGTCTCCATCATCTTCAGTGAAGGTGCATCCCAAACTACCTCATCTCATCTCTGATCTTTGATGCTTACCTCTCAACCAATCCCAAACCACCAAAAGATCCAGGATGAATAATGTTCAACCTCCAAACAAAATCGACCTCAGGTACCGTCTTTACCATATCTTTACCATGAGGGATCCCAGCACTTTCTCCACAAAACTCAGCAGCCCAGCTGTGAAAGTCGATGGTCTGACCAAAGGGGGATACTGGACTTGGCTTTACCTCAGCTAGTTATGGCAGTTTTTCATGAGAAAAATGCTGATTAAACCGAATTAAACCCTTCGATGGGGGAAACTGCAGAACCCCTAGCTTTGCAGAAATCCATTTGATTCCAGATGGCGCTTTCCCAGCGAAACTGGCCTTGGATTTGGACGATGATACAGGAAACCATATGCAGTTTATGTCCCATCTTAGGCTTTAAACATGTTTAAACCGCTAAAAGTTTCCCTTCAACTAAAGTGACCAAAGTCTGAGAAACTCTTGATGTCTTGGAGATCAATTTTGCCAGCGAGACGAAAGCCATGGACTACTGGGAATTGCACGGGAACTTGTCGCCCCTTGGTCTCCATGATGTCAACGAGGTCCTCTTGAAAGACTTCACGGATCTGGGAAATCCCAACATATCCCATGAAAAAAAATATCAAACGATGTATAAAAATGTCACATTCACAAAAGTCTTCAACAACAAGTGACATCAAGTCTTCCAAAAACTTCCTCGCAACCACTAGTCATGTCCCTGTACTTTACCAGCCCAACAATGGTCGTTGCCCCTCTTAGCCCAACCAATGGTTGTCCTGGTGGACCTCCGCTAGCCGCTTTTCATTCTCCTGAATGGCCTGGGAAGCATATATGGATGTGAAAATTGACATAGGGATGTAAAAGATCCCATTTTTAAAGAAAAAAATTGTTGACCATAGATATCTAAAATATGGACCAAACGTTTTTTTCCTGTGGGATCCAATTCAAGTTCAGTCACTGAAAACCCGAACAAAATGGGTCCTTTCCAACATTTTCCAACCACCCCAACCAGCTTTTTGTTGGCCCAGACACATCGAAAAAACTCTCAGAACTGCCGAAGACGTTGGAGTCAGCCGTCTCAGCAAACCCCCAACGCCTCCGCTTTCAGCCCCAAGTCTCAGATGAGGGGACGCCAGGAAACCCCTGTAGTCACAGGTAGTAATCCTTATGCCGCATGATTTCCTATTTGGGGGACTATACCGTATAGTCAAAATGTATATGATCCCAGTTCAACCAATGTCCCAATAGCTCCTACCATGGACTTCCGTGAGCTCTCAAGTCATGAAATGGGGTTCCTCTCAAGTGGGGAATGTCCCAATTGCCATTTCAATGGGAGACATGATGAAAATAGCCATTGTAGCCAACGATATCCCCACTGCAACTGATTACCTAATATGTCACTTATATCAAATATAACATATATATATATATATAGAGAGAGAGAGAGATATATATATATATATACAGATACAGTTTCAAGCGCCTTTTTCCACACTTTGCTGTATGCACTGCGTGTATATACTTTGCTACAAACCAAAATGATCTTGATCTTCCAAATCCTTCTCTGCCGCCAAAAAAAAAGAGAGCCACAAGCGCCTCTCAGCCCGCTTCCGTTTCTGGTCTGCTTCCCTGGCAAATCCCATCAGGCCTTCCACCTTTTGGGGAGTATATGCCGTATATATGGCGTATATATGGCGTATATATGGCATGTGTGTGTGTATGTATGTATATATATATATATAGTGTATGTATATAGTGTATATAAGCATACATATCGCCATATACTATGTGGCATATATGATATTATATATGATATATGGTATTTTGAATTTCCGAGTTTGGGCTGTTTCAAAGACTAGCTGCTGAAGTTGCCTTTATGAACTTGGTAGCAAGAAACTGGGAACACTAAAGTCACCGGCAAATGGTGAAATGGGGCAATGCGCCAACGACTAGTGCAGCAGACGCTTTTGTCTGTGGCTCGAGTAGTCCCGCCCTGCGGACATAGAGTTGATACGACCTGGCAAGGATGGCTTGACATGTAATGGTCAGTCGGATAAATGGATGACATGTGATGATTCCACTGAACACACAAGGGAAACATGTTGACCAGGATCAGCTAATCTCTCATCCCCCATACTTCTGGAATCATCATCAGTCCATGGAAAACGATTGGCCAAAGCAAACTCGCGAACCCTCGAAATGAAAAAGGTCTCCATGCTCCTCGTGGCTTCTTCAAGCTGTCTCTTTCGCAGCTTCTTGCCGGCGACAAATTTCTTATCAAAAACAAGTTTCCATTTCTGGCCGCCAGCCAAGAATTGTAAAAACAGCTTTTTCTGATTGAACTTCGTCAAACAATCAGCCAACTGAGCAAGACCGTTCACCCACCTCAGTTTGGTGGCGATTCGCATCGCTTGCTGTACTGACAATGTCAGCTCATACCCTGCCCTACTGGATCGCAAACCGTGCAACGCCGACACATTCCGTGTCATGGCATCGAAGATGCCTTTGGTATCCATGACTACTGCTCCTACGGTGGTATCACGAACAGAATCATACAAATTGGACTTGGTGAGACGAATGCCATGAATCTCAGCCCACATGGCTCTGATTCGAAACGTGATATCTTCACCCTCTGTTATGGCCTGGACTTCGGCTCCATTGCTTCCCAAACATTGTCTTGGGGTCTTTGAGGACTTCCAATTCAAAACACAAACCACACACTCTTCACCCTGAAGAAATTCAATTGGTGCCAGTCCAGTGATGACGCCTAAGGTTGATGCATGATCGGCCCGGTTCTGCTGGCCTGCATCAGCCCATGAAACTACGACAAATTCTTTCCATGACCTACGCCATGATGGAAAAAGTAAACCTTGTCGCGCTTCGCGCCTCACCTCTCTCACTAGCTTGTTGAGCTTCTGGACGGTGTGGATGGTTGCTATAGGAAGCTCAGAAAGAATCATACCCACGTCGGCTTGATGGTGGGGTCCAGTCTGCGACGATTTCCAAGCCAGTGTGCCTAGAACGCCTCGGACCATAGAAACTTCCTGAGGAGTCAAAGAAGATTTCACTTGCTGCATTCGCTGCTTCGGCAGTTGAACTTCATCCAACCACTTCTCGACGTAGGTGCTTTGATCCACTCGGATGCTACCATCAGTCAACTGAACGATATGGCAGCCAGCAAAATCAATTTCTCCTTCTTGCCATTTTCCCCATTTGTAAGTGTCAACCAACTGTTTGAATGCCTGTTGATACTTTGGGTGATCTTCATTGCCGCCAATGAGAAAATCATCCACGTGAATTCCAGCTATGGCGATCACGTCACCTGTATCATCATCATACAAAACAAACAAGCATCGGTCAGCTAACACTGTCTTCCAGCCCTGAGCCAACATGCGACGAGAAACGTCATTGAACCAGCAACGTGGTGCTTGTACCAAGCCATAGAAAGCGCGAGACACTCGCAACGGCATGATAGGATTGCTGGGGTCGGCTCCAAAAAGAACTGCAAGCTCAGATGGGGCCCAAACTGTCATCTCAAGGTGCTCCAAGGATTCTTCCGTCTGGAGGAAGGCTGCTGTCACATCACCAGCTTTAAGCTTGAAACCATTGTTGGCCACCACTGCCAAAAGCAAGCTACGGCTCACACGAGCCATCGTTGGTGATGCAGTTTCCATGTGCTCGATGTCCGGCATCTGGAAACCAAGGACGACAAGTCGGGCTTTGGCTGACCCGTCACTCTTCACGGTGAGAACCCACCGCATTGATGCCACCTTGTTGTAGTCCAAATCGTCCCATTCCTGAGACGTCAAACTTCTCAGGGCTTTCGAGCTGAGAACATTGCTAAGTTCCTTCGCCATGGACAAGTCGAACTTGCGTTTTTCTTCCAAATCCATCTGGCTCCATCTCTTCTCCTTGCCTTTCTCGATCATTTTCTTGGAAAGCCACACTTCGGACTTCTCCGGGTTCTTTGTCAAGTAGGTCAAGTCAGAAGGAAGGAGAGGAACTTCCAAGGCATAGAAAACACGCTTGTCATTCTCAGTCTGGTTGGCATTCTGTGGGGCTATGTCATTCTTTAGAACCTTGGTGTTCTGTGCAGCTTCGGCATTCTCAGGGACCATGTCATTCTCATGGGTGTGCTGCATCTGAAACACCTCGTTGGAGTCAGTCATGTGCTTGAGCTTTCTCGCATAGAGCTGAGAGTGGTTTGCATCTTCCGCAGGGTTTGATGGGATCATCTCTTCGGAGTCTGAGGGAGTGGAAGACGAGGAAGTTGATGCTCTGTCAACCTGCTCATCCTCAGAGATTTCAACTCGGCCAGTATGTTCAGTCCAATTGAACTGCTTGCCCTCCTGATCTTCATGAGGACCAGCATGTCCACCAGGTAAAACGCATGCATCAAGGGAGCATGAATTCTGCTGTGTATGATGGCCTGTGCGGATGCCATCAACAGCATCGGGACCTGATTCTCGAAGTGCAGTAGTGAGGGGACTGATCACTGGTACATGAGGAAGAAGCACTGAGCCTGAAGAGCTCGCAGGTCGAGGTGCATCATCATCATCCTCATCCAGTTCCTCGTTGAGGTCTTCTTTCGGAATCTCACTTTCTGCTTTGCGCTTCGTTGAAGTGCGCGTTGGACGTAAGGTCTTCTGCTTAGGTGCTGCGGCTTTTGCCTCATTCTTGATCTCCAGCCATGTCTCGCCAACCCATCGATCTTGAAGAGATCGTATTGGATCTTCAGAGGTTTTGAAGTCATCCTGGATCTCGATGATCTCGTCAGACCCAGATTGCATTGAGCGGACTCTGGTCTTTTGAAGACCAGTCAGATCTTGTTCATCAATGGGCACTGTTGCGACTCTTGATGGTGCAAAGAGGCTCAAACGTGGAAGGTGATGTAGTCGTACAAGCCATCGACGACCACCTTCTTGGACAAACTTCCAAGTGTCAGGCCTTGCATTGACCTTGGGCTCACGTTCAACTTCAGCACCCTGAACATCTTGTTGAAGTTGTTCTTCAGAAGGGGCTTCACCAGTCAAATCTGAGAAGTTGCGACCTGTGAAGCTTCGAAGCAAACCCTCAAGGGTAACTGGCATCTGAAGGATGGCTGTTCCTTCAAGTGCAGCAACATGTTGCTCCCTTCTGGTACAGGATCTCACCTGCTGTGTGCGGGCTCTGATCAGAGTGCTGCCAGAGGCTAACCATAGGGTCTTTCCTTCTTGTAGTAGGAAACGGACAGGACCAATCCACCTGCCGCCGGTCTTTCCTGGTTTCATCTTCTGACGCCAAAGCATGACCAATTGGCCAGGCTTGAAGACAGGAACTGGCTTTGGTGTCGTGTTGTTGAGCTTTGACAAACGAAAACGAGCACTCTCATGTTCATATGCCACACGTGCAGATTCCTTCAACTTCAACATACCTCCAAAAGCCTTTCTGGGATTCAGGCCAAGAGGAAGGTTTTCAAAAGGTGCCGATGATCCTCTTGTCCACTGGAACGGTGAGAAGCCAGAGCCACCAACGCTCTGATTGTGGCCATGTGCTGCCAAGTGAAAAGCCAACTCGACAGAGAGATCACCATGATCTTTCAGAAGCTTCTCCACCGTGCCCTTCAGGATCTTTATGGCGCCCTCTTCAGCTCCCAACATCTCATGAGACTCTGCTGGAGTGGCCAAAAGTCCAAGACCAGACTCCGAGCAGAAATCCATAAGCCTCTGAGATGTGAAGTAAGTGGCGGAGTCCACCAAAAGCCACTTTGGAGAGGGGTTGAACATCATCCAGCGGCCCAACATCCTGATGATGTCTTCACTTGTAGGCTCCCAGGCTGAGGGTTGTCCTTCTCCCGCAAACTGCTGAAGAAGTTCGGTCTGGATCAGACCGCTAGCCCGGTCTCTCATCAAAAGAAACTTGTACTTGTGAGGGCCCGCTTCAAACTCAAAAACATCACATCCAAGAATCTCAAAAAGTCCAGGAGTTTCTTGGAGTGAGGCCACCGATGCCGATGGTGGAATCTTCACTTCTGAGCAATCAGGGCATTTGATTTGCCCTGCCAAAGCCACTGCCCATGGTGGTGCTTGTCGTGCTCGTAGAAGACGTTGAAGATTGGCCATGGCAGAGTGGCCAGATGCCTTGTGAATCCGAAGCATCTGATTCTTGATGTTCTCCAAAGCCTTGCCTTTCGGCATCTCAGCTGGCATGCGCTGCCTTCGAAGAGCTAAGATCTGAGGATCTTCTTGGTGTACAAGTTGGTGTCCTTTGAAGATGCCGTATAGCACTCTAAGTCACATGGACAACCACGCATGCCATAGGTCTCTTCAGCAACGTCGTCAGCCTCCAGGAGAAAGTGGCACACATCCCTTCCGAGTGAAAGTCCAGCTCGGTCCTCCTTTGAAGTCCATGTGGAGGAGATGGCTCGGCATACGGCCTTGACCATCTGGCTGGGGTAGTATGCCGATGCTCTTGCCACTTGCCCTCTGCAATGCAGGTGGTTTTGGTGACCTGGACACTTCCGTTGTAATCCCAACCAGACATGTCTGTCGGTCGTTGCGACCGTCCAGCTTTTCTGCACTGGATAGTTATTGTAGGCAAGTCCATATGCGCACCCATGAAAGTGGCAAAAGTACAGATGCCTGTGATGACGTTCGCAAAGCATCTGGAGCTTTTTGATGGCCCTGGATGACCATCCACTTTTGGCCATCGTCGGCCATTCCCAGCTGATGTCATCACCATTCTTGAGGATGCTCTCGGTGCCCTCGGCAACTTCTTCTGCCCTCTTCAGATCGCGGCTCCTCTTCTTCTGAAAGGCCGCTTCTTCAACTTCATCACGTCGAGTCAAGTTGGAGAGACTCGTCAACCTGGTGCAGGCCAAACTGACCCATGTGTGCCGAGGCTTTCGGTCCTCGATCAAGGCCTGAAGCTTCTGGGTGCCAGATTTCTTCTCCAGGTCATAGCCCTCCAGCATGTTGATACGCTGGATCGTGTATCCCATTGCCTCCATCTCGGTAGACAATGAGGACGTAGAAGAGCAAGCCACCTCCAGAAAGTCCAAGGTGCCTGAGGTCTGTTGCAAGACATCACGCAATGGAGTCATCATCATAGCTCCAAGAACTGCCACATTTGCTGCCAGCTTCTTGGCAGTCACAGGTGGTACTCCTTTACGCTTTCCACCTCCAGGAGTTGGTGTTGGCAGATCATCCAATGCTGATGCCATAGAGCTCTTCAAGGGCGTTGTGCAAGGTCTGGATGTAGACGCATCCATGCCATCGTAGTGCTCATCGTGTTGACTGCTGCCTTGAAATTGGACGGCGCTGTCAATGGCTTTCTGAGGAAGGCCATGCGAATTGACTGGGATTGGGGAGTCAGATGACTCCGGCAGCAAAGTGCTGCCACCATTGATCTTCTCCTTCAGCTTGGTCAGGGCACTCCAGATGGAGTTCATAGTCCTTTGGACACCGTGCCTTCTTCCACCACCACCGCATCGTCGTCCGAGGAGTCCACCGCAATCGGGATGTTCTGGACGCTGAGGCTGCTGCAGCCTTTGACATAGGTGGCTCCTTCTGCTCGGTCTTGACTTGGAACAACGCTCTGGGCTTGGTGGGAGTCACCGACTCGTCCAACTTCTGAATCGTGGTCTGCTTGACCGTCTCCGCAAACTCGTGGGCATCCAAGTGGTCGATCCCCTTGGCGTCCAAGTATTCCTGAGTAGCTTGAAGTAGTGCCTCCTCCGGAGTCAAGCTTGGAGTTGACTTGGACGGTGTGGCCATTGCTTTGGCCTTGGCTTTTGGAGATCCCTCCACATCGTTCAGCAGGCCCATACGCTTCAGGTAGGAGTGGTAGGAGAGGTTGATGGCCATGGTTTCCGTCAGACCACGTTGTAGTTGGAGCCCTTTCAACTCCATGAGCTTCCCATTGACCAAGCGCTCTGTCACCTGATTGGCCGGAGTAGTCTTGCTGATCTCCTCCATTGCAGCTCTGGTCAAGTTGGGGTGAGGGCCCATATGTCGGCTCTGACCATCTGATCCCTTCTTTGGCTGGTACATCAGCCTCAAGCCGCATGCCTGGCAGGTGCTCCACATTCCATGTTGGTTTTCCCTGCGCTTCGGCTTGTGGCTCCCGTTGCACGGAAACCCATTCATCCGCGGGTCGTCCTCCGCACATGGTGCCTGAGACATAGTCAAGCTGAGCTCTCAGAGATGCCAATCGTTGAGCCAAGCTTGAGATGGAAGAAGACAAAGAGTCAGGAGGTGGAGTGCCATGCATCATGAAAATGGAGTGGTGTTTGTCTTCACTGACCTGATTCGAAACTTCCACCTTGTCAACCTTGTTGAACAAAACATTTGAATCTTCCATGGCAACTGCAGGCTCCATGACATCTATGGAAACATGATGTGAAGGATGTGAGTGCATCTTGACGGCCACCCACTGGTCACTTGAAAGCTGAGGGTCCTGACGCTGGTAAATGAAGAGGTCGTTTTGGTAGGACAACATTGCCCCGAGCTGCCGCAGAGTCTTGCCTCCCATGAGAGGTGGAGTATCATGTGCATCATCACCCAAAACATAGAAACTGAGGTTGCCCAGGGAGGTGTTCAAAAGATCTGCTCTGCTCAAAGCTTGCAACTGATGACCATTTCCAAAACGAAAAACAGGGCGATCACTGGTCTCAACCTTATACTCAATGCCATACTCAGTGATCAAATTCTCCAAGGAGCCGATGCCGACCGCATTTTCCGACGCACCAGAGTCAATAATGACGCGGTTGCCGCGGTCAACGTTGGCCACCAAAATGTCGGCCGGGGATTGCCAGGAGCACAGGTCATGGTACTGAACAAAACCCTTTGATTTTGACTTCCCAAACTTTCCTTTGGCAAATCCCTTGGAAAACACCCTACCTCTATTGTCAGCAAAACGGTCAGGACATTGTGCGGCCCAATGGCCGGTTCTTCCACATTTCAAACATGGTGAAGGAGATTTCCCCTTTTGGTTGGACTTGGAACCCTTTTGAGAGAATCCCTTGCCTTGAAACGAGCCGCTTCCCTTCGGTGAGCTTGAAGGCGATTTGCCCTTGCCCGACATGCTCTCTGGTGCAAAGTAGCCACGAGCTTGTCGAGTGCGCTTGACAGCATCTCTGGCCTGTGCCAAAGTCTTGTTGGCCTCAGAGGCCAGTGCAAATGCCTCTTGAAGCTGCACCTCATCAGGATCCGTGGGATTGTCCAGCGGTGCAATTTCATCATCCCATGATTCCCATTGGTCATCTTCGTATTGCCAGTAGTTGTCATAGTCCCAAGACTCATCATCAACATACCAATTGGACCATGGTTGATACCCTGGATCGTAAGCCTCCCACGCCATGTCATCATCAGCTCCATCCCAACACTCATCAGCTTCATTCCACCAAACTCGTGGATTGCGCTTCCATCCCTGTGGTGCTTGTCGGTCAGCACCTTCTTCAGCATACAAAGTTCTCAACGCTCTTCGAATCTGAGTAAAGCTTGTGCTATTTCCAGTCTGTGTAAGAACATTTTGACGTTCTTGCGGCGATAAACCAGATGCCTTCAACAACCTGTAACCTCGCAATTCATCTTCGAAAAAATCACTGACTGAAAACCCAGACCCATCATCCACGGGGACCTGCGGACTTGACGCATCGCGTCTGGCCTCACGTGGTGGAGCATTCACTGGAATCCCTGATGTCGGAGAAGCCGCACCTGATCCAGTTGGAACCTGTGCTGTTGTAGGGCTATGGGATGGTGTCGAAGGAGTCTGTCTCGAGTGCAGTGGATTGGATGCTGAACTGGTGGCACGATCTTCCCGTGCTCTCTTCAAAGCAGATTGCAACTGAACAAACATGTCTTCCTCTCTGACCAGCAACTGCGGAATTGATTCGCCAGATTGACGTCGAAGGTAATGCCAAACATCCAAACGCTTGAAAAGATCTGGAACTGGCAACTGCTGAAGGGGTGAACTTCTCAGCACCTGGACAAGTCGGGTCAGGCCATCATTGTGCTCGAACTCGTCAGGGTTGAGGTTTCGGACAACTGCTTTGGCTGGTCCGGTCAACTTGGCCCAAACTCGTGATGCTGCTTGTTTGCGTTCAGATTCCTTCAGTGCTTTCTCATACCAACGACATGCTATAGCAAATGTGTCGAACTCCACGGGGTCGCCAGACCAAGTAGGAACATCATGAAATCCAGAAATCTGCGATGCCATGGCGCGGACAAGCTACCAGGTCGGTAGCTCCGCTACCATGAACTTGGTAGCAAGAAACTGGAAACACTAAAGTCACCGGCAAATGGTGAAATGGGGCAATGCACCAACGACTAGTGCAGCAGACGCTTTTGTCTGTGGCTCGAGTAGTCCCGCCCTGCGGACATAGAGTTGATACGACCTGGCAAGGATGGCTTGACATGTAATGGTCAATCGGATAAATGGATGACATGTGATGATTCCACTGAACACACAAGGGAAACATGTTGACCAGGATCAGCTAATCTCTCACTTTACAATCAGCAGTTCTTCTTCCGCTGGGGTTTACTTTACCTTTTCCCCAGCCCAAAGAAGACAAATCCCAAAAGAATACGGGCTCAATATATCATAGCATCTAGGTACCCAATATTGTGTGGCATGTATGATATCAAAAAGGCCAAACCCAACTTCCCCAAAATCCATCAACAATCCATCAACAATCCATCATCAATCCATGATCAATCCATCCAACATTCAGCCAAAAACTTCCCCAAAGTCTGGCCTTCTGGCATCCGCTTCCTCCTTGGCGATGAGATCCATATATTTCTGCGCCTCATCGCAGAACTCCTGGGTGCGTTGGAAGGTCCGTCGCATGGCCTGGCTGCAGGGAAGCATCCGTCAGAACCTGGGAATCAACGACTTCTGGGGATCAAAATGTCACCCCAACTTTATCATTTGTCCATGTCTCTGTTTATCGATGTTTATCGATATTTATCAATGGTTATCAATGCTTATCAATGGTTATCAATGGTTATCAATGTTTATCAATGTTTGTCGTTTATCAGCGTTCTTCAACAATCGAAAATAATTTCCCGAACACCCTGGTTGATGTTGTTTCTCGATTCATCATCTGATTCATGACTTCATCATCATCATCATCATCATCATCATCATCATCATCATCATCATCATCATTTCTTCATAAAAAAAAGTCTGAGTCGGAGGTTTATGGATTATATGGATTATATATTATTATATAAGATGATTCATGGATATATAATGTAATTATAATGGATCTTTAATGGATTATATGCCCATTTAAAAGATGATTTCCCCTTTTATGGATGACCCACATTGATAGGTTGACTTCCCCAGTTGTGCCTCCTGATGTGGCGGAGAGAGGGAGCCTTCCTGCAGGTCGTTGTTCTGTCTTTCTACAGGTCACCAGACTCGTCAAAACATCTCAAAAAATCACCTTGAAGACGACGAAATTGACCAATTTCAGAGTCCTAAACCATCCCAAAAAATGGAATTCTTCGCCATCTAACCCTCCCCGCGATCCGGATTCCCGCTTCCAAGGTGGTCCTCATCGGGTCGCTTCTCTTGCTTCCCCAGCAGGTCATCTAAGAGCTGAGTCACACCCAGGGAATACTCCCTCGGCTCCAGATGTCTTGAGTTGAACGGTTGAACCAAGCAAGACCTGGGGCCTAGGGGATTCCAATCAAAAAAACATGATGATCTGGATTTTCTATGGATGGCTTTATTTTCTATGGGCTTTTCTATGGATTGTCAATCTTGGAATGATTATATTCTCCAATGGATGGGTTCTTTTTGATGTTCTTTGCGAAACCAACAAAAAGGGGGGGAAACCCATTGGTTGAGCAGATTCTTGCCAACAAAACTTGGGTTTCAACTAACAAATATGAAGTTCACTGGATCGGTATAATCATTGGGCCATATGACTTTTGGGATGATGATTGGTATGATCATTGGGAGAATGGGATGAAAACTGTTGAGTTTTTATTGCTTTCTCAGGGAAAAATATCAGGGCTTTTGTTTTGGCCATAACCAACAATAAAAACTGGTGAGTATAAGCAATGCTCATCAACGTGGGTATCATCTACACAACTACGATAAAGTTGGGATGTAGCAAAACCGTGAGTTTCAACGAAATTACTGAGTTTATGATATTCACATGTATTTACAGTACGCAATGAACATGAAATTTCAACCAACAAATACCATGTTCGATCCATTGGTCTAAGGAAAACCTCAGGGCAGAAACCAGGGTCTGAACTCCCAAATACCTGGGGGGCTCCTGTAGATTTTCAACCAATTCTGGGATGCCAGCAGGAAACATGGCGAAAGATCCCAAGATTTGCAAAATTTTGCCTGAACAGTTTTGGCACACTTTGTATTGATCGATTTTATGCCAATGATAGTTCCCAAGTTTGCTCAAAGTGGAAACCGCCATGTTTGGATGTGCTCGTGTTTACCATGTCCTTCGTCAAAGCTGAGGAACTCGTCTCGTGGTGACTCACACATTGGCGCCAAGCTCTAAGGCAGCGGGCGTTGCTTCAAGGTTCCGATTTCCAGGCTGGTCACACACTGATGATTTGATGGTTTTTCAAGTTGGTAAAAATGAAAGGTTTTTTAATACTTTGACGCTAAGTCACTAGCCTAAGTCCATACAGCGTGCTTTTTTTTCTGGCAGTTGACAGCAACAAGGGCTCAGTTGGTCTGCGGCACTCCTCTTGAGCTGAATTCTGCACTGCAATAAACGTGCAACGAAATCATAGCTGGTGGCTTCAACCACTGGGGATCATCCCAAATCTGCTTCCGCACTGAGCATTCAACTGATTTCCGGGTCTTGTCTGGTGACAACTGGCATTCCATAGAGCCACTGGTTGTCCCAGTACCTTGCAAAGCTACCGTTCCAAGACATCAGTCACAACAAGCCACCCGGTTGATGGAAGTGTTTCCATAGGGACCGACAAAAATTGGTCTTGTTTGATTTTATTGAACCATCCAACTTGACGGGATTCAATACTGTTGAGAACTACAAAGAATGGGAACCAGACCAACTAAAATAATCTAAAATACACATGGACATGGACATTCATGAATTCAACCCTATTTGTTGGGTGTTCTATGGTTTTCTCATCCATTTAAGTTGGTTTTTCTCATCTATTTCCAACCACAAGTCCAGCAAAATCCTCAGAAAACCCCCATGGGGCACTGACCCAAGAGACCTCCGGGCTCTATTGCTTGGACTAACAATGAGTACAGGCCCGCCTGAAGCGACCCCATCGACGACGACGGATGGAAACCCCATGGCCATGGCTGGATGGAAACTTTCCATGGCGGGACGAACTGACTCGTTTGGCATCTGAAAGTAGCATTGAAAGTAGCAGCTTTTATTGATGGCATGTGAAAATTGTGAAAATTGCCTTTTCCATTGCAAAAGAACGTTGGTGCCATCGCGAGATTGTTCCCAATCCGCTGGATTCGAAAAAAAATGAACAAAAATTGACAGGCACCCTCCAACACTGTCACAGCGGAACCGACAACTTGCCTTCCGAAGGGTGTAGAAGAAACGGTACATCCCGTTGTCCGTGTCCACAGAGTGGGTGCAGCAAATGGGCCTCAGACCAAAACCAAAAAGGATGAGACACCCAGCTTCTGCACCCAACATCTTCCAAAAAGTGTCCGCTTGTTAAGTGAGAATCCACTGATTTTCCAGTTTTATGGAGATCCAGTGTTTTTTTTCTAAGGAAATGTCCATTCAGTGAGAATCCACTGATTTCCATACCGAGGCCACGAATTTTGGGGATCCCCACTGGCCCAGGACATCCGGAGCATAGTTCGGATGAGGCGGCGCCACGCGCACGCAGATCTGCCGAATCCAATAAAACGGGTCTTTTTTTGCCATGGGAAATCCATGCTGGATTCATGTCATGCCCAGTCTGTCTCCAAAAATCGGGATCTCAATACCCTCTGCTAACAAGACCTGGCAACGGCAAACATCTGTAGAGATCTGTAGAGGATGTGATCCTGAAATCCAAAGAGGACATGTTCCGTCAAGGCGCTGTACCGGTGGAGTCGAGCTCACAGACGTCGTGGACAGAGAGGATAAATCTTCGGCCACCAACCTTGGCCGCAACCGGCCACGGCTTGAGGGGTGGGAAAAAACAATGGGATACTATGGGAAATCTAGATATAGCGAAGACATGACAACATCAGCATGTTGATAGCTGGTGATAGAAGTCAGCAGAATAATCATCCCATTTCAACAGTATACTGTATACTCAATATACTGAGAATGGAAATGAACAACTTTTTGGAACCACACACATTACTTGTTTCAATCACCTCTTTGCGAAAAGATCGCCACCAAACTCAGTGGCTGGAGTTCAGCTCCAGGCGATCTCATCCACCTTGGTCACTGGATCCACTGCTCGCACTTGGGCCGTGTACCTGGCTTGGTCCAAGGCTGAGGTACCACAAAAATCTCAGAAAATCCCTTCAAAACATCCTTCCCCAGTAGTATTCATGACGATTCATGACCATAAAATATATATAATTATATATATATAATTCTCCAGAATCCAGTGGCCAACAAATATTCTAAAGCCATCAAGTACCTGATTTCCACATCCAAAGGCCCAGAAAAACCAACCCCTCCAATCCCAGAGAGCACGCCACATCGGCACCTCAGGTGTCTGCCATGGATGTTTGGGGCTTCACTCACATGCCATCTTCAAAATTCAGAACCCGTTTGACATGGCTTTGGAAGAGGCTGTTCCTGAGGCTGTTCCTAATTGAAAAACAGTACTTTCCGGGGGGGTCCAGAGCTACACAGTTCTCACTGTTCGATTTGAGGGCAGCCTGCAACATCCTGATGTGGTACACCCAATGCCATAAACCATCCGCTAAATCACCATAAATGGGTTCTGTAAACCATCCCCAAATGGTAGATATGGTAGGTTTATTGGGTTTCACACAGTGATCATTCCTATAGAACAGCCCCCAACCATTAGAAATCCTTGGCTCTTTGACCAAACCTGTTGAAATCCCTTACTAATTGAAATCCTCATCCGTTGCTGGCCAATGTTCCCGTTACTTACTCCGGCAAAGCATGAGCCAACAAAAATCCTGGTGGCTTAAAATTGAAATCTCCCAAGATTTCAGGAATCTAAATCTCATCATTCTCATCCAAGATTTCCTGCCAGATGTCCTGTTTTCTGGATCCAATTCTTCAGATCTCTCCTGGATAGGGTGGGCCCCCGGGCTCAGCGAGATGGGAACGCTCTCCGGTCTCGAGTCAGCTGCGGCCATGAGGTCAGAGATCCTGCGCGTAACGAGATCCGGTTGAGATGCCCCCCCAATGATGGATGTAAAAGATGTAAACAATGTAATAAACACTAATTAATAAACATTAATAAACTCAAGTTCTCTAATTCTCTAAGAGTTGTTCCATCTAATTTGTCTGAAGTTTGATGTTAGATCTGTTAGATGTACTGATGTTAGAAAAGGATCGGCTAATATATCTAACGAAACTAACATCAAACGTAACACCCCTACGATTTGTGGCCTCACAGAAGACGAAGTGTAACTGCTGAAACCTCGCTCCAGTCTCCAACTCACAGCTGTGCCCCAACTCAGCAAAAAATGGGAATGCCACTGGACCCATTGTGTCAAACCATGCAATTCTCCTCCAATGGGCTGGCTAAGTCAGTTTTGAGCCATCAATTTCCATCACCAAAACACTTGATTTAAAAAAATGGATCAACATACAGGATGCTTCCATGCCATGCCATGCCTCAAGACAAGACCCGTTCCATGGGCAAATACCGAGCTCACCACCGACCCGGTTTTCAGCATAGACTCGGAAGCTATACCTCGCAGCGGCGTCCACTTCCCAGCACAAAAGAACACAGCGGCACAGCGGTCTCAACTGGGAAGCCCAAACGTCAAGGAGGCGTGAAGGCCGGTGGCGATGAAAGTGAGTTTCGAGGGCTGATTTGTACCTGAAACCAACAGAAACCAGCAGAAACAGCGCCCTGGGACTATGGATCTGAGGTGGAGGCCATCGTAAATTCGCTCCCAACTGCCATCCCCATTTGCCTCGGCTCCAAGATCTCCAAGTCAGCGGTTGGCGAAATCCTGGTGATATCCCGGCACCTCCATGTCCACGTGGTAGCCGAGGATGGGTGAGCCGCCATTGGCAGGAACAGGCCACAGGAGTTGGATGTTATCCGCTCCCACCTGCGACCAGATCCGACATCCGCCATGAGAAAACTTTGGGTCAACCCTCCATGGCTGAAGTCGCCCAGTTGGATCCATACCCAAACCACCATCACACCTTGGGTATGCGAACCCCTGCTGGAGCTATGACCACCCCTTAATATGGCTGTATGGATAGTAGTGATCAAAAGATTGAAAATAATCCAAAAATGAAGTCGCCATCAAAATATGGCAAGAAATTAACTACAATATACTACAATAATAACATCTTCATATCCTTTTTCCATCTTTTCAGTACCCCCAACCTTCTCCAAGGCTGGCGTGAGCCCTTGCCACTCGGGGACACCGGCGCTGATCTGAGAGGGCAGTGAATTTCACCAGAAAATCAGCTCCAGTTTCAACAGAAAATCCTATATGATCATCATAGGATCTACATGTTTTACAAGTGTCACCTTGATTTCCTTTTGTCAAGGGTTTTTTCACTACTTCTTGTGACCATCTTGTGCTTTGCCCATTCGTTTTCTTCGGACAACTGCAAGGTGGATATCTGTTTCGAGGGTACAAGGTGACTACTGGAACATCCTCCAAAAACTTACGACCCAATCATCTGCCATCGGCGCATCTGAGGGCGGCAACGAAGTTCACTATTTCGCTGCGCGGCCCAGCCAGCCCTGTGGCCTCATTTGGGGGTCATGCGATGATTCCTGGAGATTCAACTCCTGATTTTGGTTGCATCTGAGGTTCCAAAAACTCTGTCCTTGCCAAACTATGCCCACCGAAAATTCTATGGGATTCGATCATTTTCCATATCCACTCTTGGCTGCGCAATGGTATCCCGAAGGTATCCTTTTTCAATGCCCGGTGCCACCAAGGTGCATCAATACCCCGAGCTTGGAACTGGTAGTGCCTGTCAACTTGCAAACCTGGGCACCATGGCAGACATGATCTATATGATACTCATAGGAACATCTATGCATGGCAACATCTCCCAAAATTATTCGGACACAAAGAGGAACAGCAAAATTCTGATCTATTAGCCAAAAGACACATTGAAACTACCGATTTTTCAAGTACTTCATGGCATTTAGAGGTGTTTCTTCACTAGAAACCCACTTTTTCCCCAAAAAAAAACCATTGGGAGTCTGCGAAATCACTCGGTTTCCAGCCATCCACTCGAACCGCCACCTCGCAAGGTCCTCTGTAGACCTGGCAACGAATCTTGCAACCGGTTGGGAAGGACCATTCATCATAATATATCAAAATATATCATAATATGTATATATATATTAATATATATCATAATATATCATTTCTTGGGGTCCACTGGTTTGGAAAATCCACCAGACTTGGAGCATCGTCCCGTTCTTCCCAGGCACAGAGATCGCCGCGCGGAACGAATTTTTTTTTGGCTGCGCAACGACGCAAAAAAAAGGCGGAGATGGCTGAGTTGAGTTGCCAGCAGATGGGCATGGGTCAAAATTGGTTCCAAATCTGGTAACGGATGTGCATCCATGTGCATCCGCACCCATCGTGAGACAATTTTTAGAGATTTTGACCCATCCCCTTAGCCGACACCTATGCTAAAACCGTCTGGAGCATTAGTCTATACCGTAGAGGCCTCCCGGCCGGATTAAAAAACCGCAACGGGGGGATCAAAGGAAATCAAAGCTCGAAGCAAACACCAACTGGTCACAGACAAACAACTGCTGTTGTTTAAGAACAAAAAGCTTCTGTGAATCACGGTGAATCCAAAAAGTTTCGCTGAAAAGAGGGTGAGACCAAGCCCAAGTCCTCATCTGGACTCGACAATCAGATGCCTGGCTCCACGAGGTCTGTTTCTGCTGATGTGAACCTTCTGGAAAACCTTGGCGGCTTCCGGCTTCATACGTGAACTCTTGCTACTAAAAAATGCACCCCAAACAACCAAAAACAAAACAGATTTTTCTCAGGTTGCGACAAGTGCTCCATGTCCGAAGTATGTCCTGCTACGGCTTTTCGCAGAGGCTCAGCCGATTCCGGTCACTGAACCATCCCCAACAAAAAGCTATGGGTGGTGCAATCACCATCCTCAATTGGAGGCTGCTCAGGCTCCTCAATATGGGCTTACCTCTCTCTATATGTGTAGATAGATAGATAGATAGATAGATAGATAGATAGATAGATAGATAGATAGATAGATAGATAGATAGATATATAGATATATGTATAAATATGTATAAATATGTATAAATATGTATATATATATATAGTAAATCACGAATCTTGGAACATGCGCAAAGGAAAACCACATAATGTCAACGACATACTTTCCGCTACGTTCCTAAGGACTTGATCATGTCGTGGGAGACCCCGGTCACACCGTGACCCCGTCCTCTTCGCGCCAACAACTCTCTAGAATCAGAAGTCTCCTGAACGTCACAGATCATCCCAGAGATGTAATTTCGAGATGTCCAAAGAAATGCCAATGGCACAGCTTTAAAAAAAAAAACTAACACCCACAAAACTCACCCAAGGATAGGGGTCCAAAATTTGGGACCCAAACATTTTTTTCGGTTCACTTAGGGAAACTTGGGGGATGGGGATATGGTTTTCCTAGGTTTCCCTCGGTTTTTCTTTAAAAAATGCCCCAACCATCCGAGGCCTTGATCAGAGCTAGGGCTCGATGCGCTCGCATCGCCTCGGTGTGTCCAACGGCACGGGCGGCGCCACCGCCGGCGCGACCGGCGACCGCGTCGGATGCCGCCGAGGCGCGACGAAGATCAAAACGGACACAGCCGCGGCCAGGGCGACGAATAGGACGGGAGAAGTGGAGGGAAAGGACCAGAAAGGCTCCGTCCTGAGTTTTCTCAAATGATTCACAAATGATGCACTGAGAGTTGGAAAACACAGCTGAAAAGTATCTGTTGATATCTGTTGATTTGGATTTGGAAACACTTCAGAGTTTCTTCGACCAAAGTTTGTTGGAGGCTTGCTATGCAGGTACCAGCAACGGTACCAGCGTTTTTTCGTGCATTGTCTCAGCCTCTGGTACAACTTCGAAGGGGCAATCATCATCTCATGCGGGAAGGAAAATCGCACCTGGGTTCACAAGAAAATCACAGCCATTTGAAGCCCCTGGCTGTGCCCTGGCTGTGCCCTGGCTGTGCCCTGGCTGTGCCCTGGCTGCCCTGTATCACCAAGCCACACTACCCTTTGTGGGCTCAGTAGGATCTTGCCACAGCCACTTGGGAAGGACCTCACCAAGAATCCAAGGTTTTTCACAGGAGAGAGAAGTGTCACAGTAGATTTGAAGCAACCCTGTAAAAATATCCCATTGTATAGCTTCATCTTCCCAGCCCTTCCCTGTATTGGGTCAAAAACCCCTTCCAAAGCAGCAGTTCACCCTGTGGCCCCCTGACTGGAGTTTGTGCCGCCCTGAACGTCTCCTAGGATGGCTGATGGATACACAAATTGTCTGAGTCAGGGGGTGGTATTTTTGCTCAACCAATAGCTACAATAGTTCAGCATAATTGCCTTTGTTTGACCACAACCATAAATCACAATTTCTGACATAAATCACCATATTCACCATCTTTCACCAGAAATCACGAAGGGTCACTATCTGATTCACATGCTCCTAAGATGGAAGGATGTGGTGGTTCACCCCAGGAATCCTGAGTCAGTTCACCCCAGTTACTGGACTGACCCTACAATGCTGAACTTGGGATAAGTAACCCACTTACCCTGCTGAAGGCTCTGGTGTCATCAATTTTTATGGCTGGAAAATAACTAACCCATCATCTCCTTGGATGGCTTTGTTGGAGACAGATATCTACAGGATCGCCCCATTCTTCAAGGGGATCTCTACCATGCAAAAACCGGTGAAGATTTTCCCTTCTATATAGCAATCTTCAAAAGTTGGAATGGAAAATATGGAAGAAACACCATCGAACTACCGTCCATATTTTGCACACTTTCATCTTTTTGGAGGTTGCTATAAAGCCATCCATTGAATCAATAGTGTTCCATTCATTAATAATGATTAATACCCTTATCCCGTGGTTGATTATTTACACATATTGGAATTCCATTATCTTATCATGATAGTTAATATTAGTTAATGATAGCTCGGAAAAGACTAGATCATAGATGATTAGTGGTAACACTGGTTTATCTTAACAATCATGATTTGTGCTTAATGACCATAGATTGTTGTTAGTCACTAATCATGACCTTCACAATAATCATCATTCACCTTAGTTAGAATAGTTTGAATTAGAATAATTATGACATTCACTAATAATCATGACATACACTAACATGATTAGTTGGATTAACATGCACCGACCATCACTTTTCGCATCGCCGGAGCACGTTGCTCTTCAGCACCTCTCTTGCCCGATCCTTCCTGAGGCGTCGCTTGAAACGCACGGAACTAAGCGCAGCTCATGGCCATGACAAATGGATTCAATTTGGAGTGTCTAACATCAAAAAATAGGAAGCTTCACCCTGGAAATTTCTGGTTGTACCTTGCGAAAATGCTGATGTTTGCATGGACAAACGGGTTGTAAGCATCAAAAGACTCAACATGACCAGGGTTTCGTTGGGGGTGTTTACAGTAAGATCAGAGATTATCTCTCTGTAACTAAACCTGGCAAAGGCCCAAAAAACAGAACACGTTTGACGGGAAAATCATGGATGATCCCTAGAAATGGGGAGTGACATTGCCATTCCAGTAGGGAATGTCACTCTGGTAATGTGTGCTTCATCAGCCACGATTCGATCCCATCCGAATGATCCAATTCGAAATGTGAGGGTCAACCCTCCCATAATGCCATACCACAGGTCACATCTTCGCCCAAGATGCAAAGCTTTGATCCAGTCGATCTGCTTGGTCCAAGACAGGTCGAACATCGTCTTGGCCTCAAGGATGCCAAGGATGCCAAGGATGCCAAGGATGCCGACACCCTGGAATTCTACCATGAAAATACAGGGGGTAAGTCCTGTACATGAGTATGGGTGTGACTGAAAAGGAGGACGCCACCATTCAATTGCTGAGCAGTGAATGTGTGGATTTTGGGGTACAACATTTTTGGACAAAGCGATGTTTTCCCCTAACCCAACTGCTCACTTCACCACTTCACCACCCAGGTCTGAGGATTCGACATTCAAAAAGCCCGGCGGATGCACATTGATGTGAGTCCTCCAGGTTGTCAAGCCATGGATGGAATGGGCAAAAAGGTGGCCTTGCTTTGCTGCATCACTGCAGCTGAGGCTCGTAAAAATGATCCTCGATCCGCCTTCCGGATCAGTGTTGACACGGTGACAATCATCAGATTCATCTCTGCATTTGTTGAAGCATCAGAAATCTGTTTGTTTGAAAGAATAGGGAACCCCAAAAAATCTTGTGTTGAAATCATCATTCTGAACTGGCCCTCATGTTTTTAGATGTTTTTACTGGGAATCCAACTTCTACATTGGTCCAGACCCCCCACTCAGCGTCCCACAGGGCAGCAATCGTAGGGGTTGCCGGATGGACACTTGTTCTCTCCACCTGGAGTGCGAAACCACCCGAGCTGGGTCCAAACCAGGCCGGGGCGCAGGCGCCTCGTGGACAGGGTCGAATCCAATAAGCTCCCAGACAGTTCTCTGCCTGGCTGAGCCATGATGTAGATTTCACCTCCACCATTGGATATTTTGTTAATTTAGTGTCTAGAATTTGGACCTGGCCAAACTTCCCACCTGCACGGCAAACTGGTTGGGTTTCTGTTCCTGGTGGCATTTCAAAGGTTTGTTCCCCAAAGAACCACTCGGGTCATCTGATGCCAACTGCTTGCAGCTGTCCTTGTGGATTGCCTCCACATTTAGTGAAGACACCGCAAACCAATATTCCTGGCGGCAAATATCACTTTTCAACACCCACAGGATGATTGTCGGTAGATATGACCAGAAAAAATGGGATTGGGAAATAAAAAACACCAACCAAATGATGTACTCCGGTCAAGTTGAAATATTCGTCATCTCAAAATCTCAAGCCATATCTAGAGTCCGGACCGATCCTGCTCTTCCAAGCTTGCATTGAAGGCCATCCATTGAAAAACCTGGTCATCTCGCTGGTGAAGGCGGAAGGCCGAAGTTCATTTCGTGTCAAAGAAGGAGCAAAACAAAAACGATCAAAAACAGCAACGATAAATCCACGTAAATCCCTACAAAAAGAGTGGCAAATGATGTTCATATCTTTTTTTGGGAATAATTATATCATACTTTGGTCAAAAGAATTGACATCATCCATAGTGATTCGAGCCAAGCTCTTCCAGCGCTCCAATCCCACCTGACGTGGGGGGACCAACCAAAAGCCCGAAGGGAAGCTTAGATCAGCTGCGAGGACACCATCGTCAGGGAAATCCTTCACCACCTTCGCCTGGCCCATGCTGGGATGATCTGAGGGATGGGATTCGATTGGTTTTCCAACATTACTCATTATGTGGATAGTAGAATTACGATATGTATACTGTATATATACTATTCTTTCGAGTTATTGTCCATCCATTACCCTCCAGTACTCAAACATGGCTAGCTATAGAATCCCCGAAGTAAAATGAAGGTGTTAGTGGACAAATCAAGAAAGGCTGTTCCCCGGAAAAATCCGGTGAAAGTCAACATCGGATGTCTGTTTTTGGTCTCTACCAGGAGGAAATTTGCTGAGAACATCCACCAATCTGTTGACCTTCCAAGAAGCGCTACCCTCTGAAAAGACACCCCAAAATCTCCCATCCAGGCATCCAGTGGTGCCGATGGTGCCTCACTCATGGAATTGTCCCACTTCAGTTGACCTTCGATGTCCGCCACGACATTAAAAAGCTGGGCGGGTCGCACATCGCTCACGTTGAATTCACCGAAGGTGATGGGCACCTGCCACGGTCCCGTTTCGCGGCTCCGGTGAGTCGTAGTTCAAGTCTGGGAGAAATCCCATGATTTGACGGCAGAAACAATGTCCCCTTCACCAATCAACCCAAATTTGGCTGGTGATCAGACCAAAGAACATAACAGTTGTTGGACTCTTGGGCTCTTGGGGATATAACTAGCCAAGATGGGATATGAACCACTGGTCTTCTGGTCTTATTTGGAAATATGGACATGATACCCCTTAGAAAATGCACTGCAAGTGATCGCTTGCAAATTTAAACTAGTGTCAGTTCTTGGTATGAAAGCCACTTCATTAGTGAGTTCAACAGTTGAAGTACCAAAGCCCAGAGTGGGGATAAGGCCCCTGGAAAGTCACTCCCTTGACAATTCCGGAAGCATCCTCTTTTGAGATGAAACACTAGGAAGAAGCGATCAAAAGGTTCTACCAAAACCCAAACAAGCTGGCCAATGTGCCCATGTCGCACTTGTTTTTCTAAACATTGTGCACCAAAAAATGCATAGATTTTACACTCAAACCTGCGGGCAAATTCTCCAGGAGGGTCCCAAAAACATCCGCGGTGGTGCCAGCGCTCCCACAGTATGGCCTTCATGTTCCCACCACGCTCATCACAGAGATACCAATGCTTGGTTTGCTGCACTTTGGCCTGATAACACGGAAGAGTCTTCCGTCTGACATGTTTGACATGTACGAAGAAATTCTGTGACGCCACCTTGACAATGCTTGTTTCTTGACACCAATTTTAGGTCAGCCAAGGACCTGCGGACTTTGGAACACCTTGAAGAAAGAATATGACTTGAATATGGATGGCTGCCAAAAAAGCAATCAAAAACGTCACGTTGCGGCGCCGCCTTTGACTCCCAGTACGGCAAAGTCATCTGATCCTAGCATTCGGAAAAAATATCAGTGACTGAAACCAAACGGCCAAGTCCAAGTCTCCAAGGTGCTCTTCGGTCCTCATCTTTATACCAATTCTCCAGCCGGTCTCTGGCTTGCTGGCATCATTTCCATCAGCTGTGTGAGATAATTGGAGGGCCAGTGGTTGTTGCTGAACTTGTCCAGACCTCACTGATTCATGGCTCTTTGTCTATATACCTCCACATCTTCATCTCCTTTGCTGCAAATGCCACATTTCAAGAACAGAAAACAGATTCGTGTCATTTGGTTTAAAGTTCAAAAACGGAGAATTGGCACTTAATTTTGGCCACATCCATGTTATTCTTTTTCATAGCCATCCCGGACAAAAAATGACGGAAAATCCCCCAACTCCAACTCCACCAAAGCACAAGAGTACCTCCAGGATGGCTTCACGAATGCGTTGCGCATCTCCAATGGCGGCGATTTTCGGGGCAGGAAGAGGCCGCGGTACTGCAGCCTGGACTACCAGGCGAACTGGAAGCCATGTCTCAGTTAGTAACTGATGATTTACCCTGTTACAGTTTACCCAAAAAAAACAATATATTACTGTATGTATATATATATATACTGTGTATATATATATATACTGTGTATATATATATATACTGTATATATATATATATACTGTGTATATATATAATGGTAATGTTAAATGGCTATGTTATCGCTATTTTTCATTTATGTTCGATTACCAGAGGGCAACTAGTGGGGTGGATCTCAAAGGACACAAACGCGCCTGCTTCTGGCATGAGGTGCAGTTTACACTGTCCCCCATGGCATACTTGTCGCTGCTTCCGCAGTAACCTGAAAGCTGAGAAAAACCGGGATTCCCAGTGGATGAACATCCTCAATATATTGGGCAGTATATATTATAGTAATACATAATATATATTTATATAATATATAATGTATATATAATATAGATAATATAATATATATATAGTATAATCCACTATCACTATTTAAAAAAAAAAAAAAAACTATCATCATCAACCAACAGTCTGAACACTGCTCAAGCCGACCACAACCAGCGGCAGATGGGTTCCCCAACGAGTCTCTCCGAATTTCTTGGAACAAACGTGTTCACAGACATCGCCCACCAGTGGTGTGCCACCTCGGGTCTTGTCAAATGTCAAAGGGGATCAACATCCAATCGGAAATGTCCTATTATTATTGTTATTACTATGTTTATTATTATTGTGATTATTGTTATTGGTATTATCATTGGTATTATTATTTCTTATTATTGGTCATATTACTGGTACTATTATGTACTATTATTATTACTATTACTATTACTATTACTATTACTATTACTGTTACTACTACTACTACTAGTATTATTACTACTACTACTACTATTATGATTGTACTACTATTGTTCTTGTTATTATATAATCAAAATCCCCTTCATGGATGAGCTTTCCTTGAAAACCGTTAAGCCACCTCCCTGGGGTGTTTCTCGCCAAGATGCCATTCCAAGCTGCCCCATCCGTACAGTGAGGCTTCCAGCAGTCTGCTGGACATATCTCCTACCCAGCTCCGACAAAGTGGGACTGTTGAAACTGATCCTACCACTGGTTTTTCAGAAACCTGCCCAAAGCCAACTTTCTCCTTGATCATCCCCATTTCATCCCCTGAAAAAATCCCACATCCCAGTCACCATTGCCTGAGAAGTGACTCCAAGGACCAAAGCTTGGAAAATGAGACAGCTCAAGGTCCATGGCGCCATTTTTGAAGTGAAACCGTGACACGACACAACTGTGACCGTCTATACCGTGGCGCTGGCTGTGCGACTGACCTGCGACTGGCTGCTACTTGCACTTTGCTGTGGTATCCGAAATCCCCCGGGATCCGTGGCACTTTGTCCACGATTTCGATCCGAAGGGACTGCAGTGAAAAACTCAGCTGACCGTCTTCAGCACATCGAAACAAGAGCTGGTAAAAGAAGATGTTTAACCGTAAACAACCGCAAAAACACAGAATTTCTCGCCTTTCCAACACCTCAAAGGCAATCGGAATCTCAGCTGGAAACGAAAAAAATGGATGCAGATCCGACCTCAAATCGAGGTTCGTCCCCGACACCGCTATCTCGGAAGAGCTCGCACCTTGGGACACAACTCGGCAACTCGGACGAAGTGCATGTGCCATGGTGTTTTATATGGGATAAATGTATATAAATGTGGTAGAGTCATCCATCCCATTCCATCGGAATCCAAACATAATATGGTATCATATGTATATCAATCCCGATTAATTAAACCATGTGGGATAACCATACCCCTTTTTGCAGGATATATACAATCTAACACAAATGGACCCAGCGTCTCGACACAAATTGATGCACATTTCTGACCTATCTGAGAAGTTGGCTCAAAAGCATCAGTTGTCGCTTTCAAGTACAGCGTGATTTCACCTTCCGATGCGCAAAAGTATCCACCAGCCAACGAAACAGCCACAGCTTTCAGCAGCCATATATCGCCACATGAAATCACCTTCAAAGCCTTCCTTAAAAATCTCTCCAGAATCCGGCTTTGTCGGGTTTTTTCAAAAAAAAAAACTCTCCAGAATCCCTGGGTGAATCATCACTATCCCATCTTCGGACATAAATCCGATCCACACTGCGCTGGCACCTGCCAAAGAACTCACCCGCTCTGGAGCGATGCCGGTCCCGATTGGTGTCACGGCCTGCTCCTGGGACGTCTGGGGAAGGTAGGGATATTGATATGGATGATGTACATATATACATATATATATAGATTATATAGATTATATAGATAGATTCTGTAATGTAAAGTATAGTATAGTATAGTATGTAAATCTATATATAATCATAGATATAATATAGATACGTAGATACATATGTATGTATAAATACTAGTTCGTTCATTTGGATGATTCCACTTGATTTTTCATTGGAAGCAACGAGGAAGTACAAACAAACAGCGCAAACGTGGCACCCCCTGGAATCTAGATGTGACATCAAGATCTCAACCAACTTGAATTTGCTTTGCACAGTATTATGTATAATATGTATATACATATTATGTTTATACATATTATATATACATATTATATATAATGTTTCAAGGTCCAAACGCAACGCAGTCGGCCAAAGCTGTGGCCGTCCTGTAGCAGAAGAATCAACACAGTCAGGAGCCAGCGCAAATGGCAAAGAACCTTCGCTCTCTGCTGCAATACCAATTTACAATCAAACATGGGTATGGGTCAATACCTATTAATACCATTTTTAGTGGGATGAACATCCATTTACCAGCTATTTTGATGTTCACCAGGGGCACAAGGTTTCGACACACTGCCACATGACAACGGAATATGTATTGGATTCAACCATTATGGATAAAAGCATGGGATTGTAGTGGGGATAGAATGGGCAAACCAAGCATACTTTGGGGCTTCAATGGAATATGTATGCACATCAAAATGGCCCAGATTGATTTGATTAGATTAGATTAGATCAGACTAGATTAGATTAGAGTAGATTAGATTAGATATAGATTAGATTTAGATTAGATTAGATTTAGATTAGATTAGATTGGATTGGATTAGATTAAATTTAGTTTCAGTTTAGATTGGATTAGATTAGATTAAGATAAGATTGGATTTAGATAAGATTGGATAAGATAAGATTGGACTCGACAAGATAAGATTGGATAAAATAAGGTTGAAGAAGATAAGATAAGATTGGATAAAATAAGGTTGAAGAAGATAAGATAAGATAAGATAAGATAAGATAGGAAAGAAAGATAGATAGATAGATAGACATCTAAATACACCACGGCACTATTGCTTAGTCTTCCAATTGTAAACACAAACAAATTTCATAAATGCCAACATGTACCAAAACAAACTAGCAATATTGTACCAAGAATATCCATCAACATCTGTGCATAGAAAGCTACTGCGACTGGAGACACATAAAATCCCAAACATCAATTCCCAACGGCTGGCCGCACCGGGGCCGTTCTGGGAAGAGGTAAAAAGCAGCCTCTCCCCATCGTCCTGGCTGGTCGGGCTGATCACTGAGATCTTGTGCATCCGATATCCGACTATTCTACTCTTCTACGCATCGAAAGAAAGATTGAGATTGTCACATCTGATGTAATTAGTATCAATGATACATACAGCTGTAGATATGCTAACTACTGCACTACTACGCACAGAGAGATTGATGGATATATCCGAAAAGCACCAAGCCAGGCTGGTCAGACCACCAGATCAGGCGCCGCTCCCTGGGCCGGGATTGCTGGATTTATCCATGCCCAATATAGCGTCACTAGACATTATCCTAATTTTTACAAAATATACAGAAAAAACTGCCAACCAACGCTAGCTACATGGATTGTTTTTGTTCTGAATGTTTCAATTGCTATCCATCTAAGTCATGGGATGTCTTCGCTATCCAGTATGTTCAATGCAATGCACGTGGAAAAATTACACTAAATCAAATCCAATCCATACTGACTGTGTGGGTTCTGGTTTCAAGCCCCTGGACCAGCAATGTTTCCAGCCTGCGGTCGTGCGCCTAAGTAGAAACCAACCATCACCGAAAAACGATGGTCGGCCGGCATTCTTTGTACCCATCCCAAAATCCTAAGCCTTACAGCACATTTTGTGGATAGAAAAATACGAAATATGTGACCTGTCTTAAAAGTAATATGTTGGTTGTATCATATCATGCACGTTTGTTTGCTGGGGAAAACACATGTTTGCTCTCATTTCATCGGTGTATCCAATCTTCCACACTCCTATTGGTTAAAACATATGTCTTAAGGGTGTTTTCACCGTTTCACCATTTGGTTTGTAGTAGAATCCGTTGGTTAAAATTGTTGGTAGCAAAATCCACAATGTGTGTTGTTTGATCCACCTTTCTTAGGAAAAAACACATCCATTCGTTGATTGTCATTTTCCCACGTTAAAATGGCCATAACCTGCCGCTATGCGATATATATATATACCCCCTTTTCAAACACGCAAATATCACATTCATGTTGGTCATATATATCCCTTACTATACCATGTGTTTATCATGAAATGTCCCAAGAATTGTTAGTTTGTACCCCCATTCGACCAAGTCGTTTACTTAATTTTACGATTTGGTGACTATGAAAATTTTCAAGGTCAACCCTGGAAAAAAAACTGCTAGATCAAGTAACGGGTCCCTAAAAAATTAATGATAAACTGTTTTTAAAGTGGTACCCCAGTGAAACAAACCATGGTTTTTTCACAACATCCTGAGGCGCCGGCTCGCTGCGCCGGCCTCACAACTGCTGAGGTTGGGAGAGGCCCAGTCCCACCTCCAACGCTGAGCCAACATGGCGACGGATTACCAATGCTGGATGGTTTACACTTGCCATTTGGGAATTTTTGGGGATGTTTTCATGAACGCACTGAAATGTGATTCGCAAAGAACGTGGTGAAGCATCCAGAGACTGGGCCGTTTACAAGAAAATGAACGGATCCTTTGTTGAAAATTGTTATTTCGTTTTTGGCAAAATTGATTTGTTTGCCAATTTTTAATTTTTGATTGGGTCATTTTTTAGAGAAGCAACCCTTTTTTTGAACAAAAATATCAAAAAAATGACATGTAAAAAAAAACAAACGTTTTCATGTTTAAAAAATGTCACAAAATTGAGGAGACAAATAGCATATCTGCGGATTTTCCTTGAGTTGAAAGCGCCTCCAAAGTCTCACCATGTTACACTGCTCGATTTGTGCAGTGTCAAGTGACAAAACATGACTGCTATGGCATGTACATGTACTGATGCAAGGTGCGTAACATTTCTGCACCCCGCCTCAGACTGTATTTCCAATACTAGTCTGTAGACCCCTTAGGACTGTGCTTAGTCCGTCGAATCTCTTCTGTTGGGGTTTTCTGCGCTCTAAAAAAAAACTGCGCACTGGATCCCACAAATGGTTTTTAGCCTAACCATTCATGGAACCGTTTCTGTGGTGCTGTTCTATCCACGCTCAGGATCTTCTCAGAATTCCATTAGACCGTCTCCACTCACGTCCATGGCATCGTCTTCATGGTTTTCTTCCTCTCCATCTTCTGCTGGTCCATATTGGATTGTGGCCCAGAGGTCTGGGTCTGACACCTCACACTGTTCTGAATCTCGATACCTTTGCACTCTTTCTTCATGGGTCTCCATCATGGCTTCGTCTGAGGAGGTCTCAGGACTAGGTGGCGTCCTCAGTGAACTCCCAATCCCACGGACCAATTCCACCACGCTCTCGAACCTCTCGAGCTCAAGCAGCTTCACCACCAATTGGAAAACCTGTCCATGGGTTGCAGATAACAATTCACGTTCCACCACCCCATAGCCATAGCTTGGAGAACTATCTTCCTCGTCCAACTCGTTGTCACCCGTGAGAGAAGCCTGCATGCGCTCACGCTCAGTTGGACTGGCATTTCGAAACTGTGCAAAACATCTTTGAAGCCAATTCCGTGATTCGGTATACTTTCTGATCCTTCCCAAATTGTTGTCTCAAGTTGCCCTTGCAAGCCTGCCCAATATATGGGCGTATGTCCACGTCAACAGCCCTTCCAACGTGTTGGTATCATATGTGACCACCGGCCCAACTGCAAGTTCAGTTGGCATGGGAGGTGGCATTGGCACTGAACGAAGAAATGGGCTGCGCAACATCCACCATGTATATGCTGCAAGCAACAACGTCCACAAGGTCAGGACCAGGAATGAGAATTGGCTGCTCCCACTGTTGTTCTGAGCAGTCTCATCCATGTCAGCTCCAAGACATCCTCCAAGGCCCATGGTCATGCTTCCCTGCAAAGAAATCATGGCAGCATGTGCTGTGGTGAGCCTCTTCTTCTTTGACTCCCAAGGCTCATCTGTTGCACGTGTAGGGCTCGCCTCGTCCGATGAAAGATCCGACACCGTGTTCAACATGTCTGTTGCCTCCTGTCTTGCGGTGTCCCCAGAGCCCATAACCTGATCCAACAGATCCACCAACAGCGTCATGCGCTGTGTATACGCAAGTGCTCTGGAAGTGTTTCCGTTGGAAATTGAATCTTCACGTCGACGGTAGCACCTCTCGAACAGCCATGAAATCAGAGCTTCAGGGCTAAAAGCGGGGAAGTCTGGAAGACCTTCACAACTGAAATCTGGCTGAGTTTCGAGTCAAACCATCATCATCACTGCTGGCCAAAACTTCATTGTGAACCGACTGATCATTGCTCATCCATAAGAACACCATGTACAAAGTCAGCAAGGTGATCCAGCTGGTGACGATGGTTGCCTGCATAGTTGATCCTTGAAAATTGCTGTCCATGGCTCCACTTGGCACGTCCGACAAGCAACCGTGAAGAAGCAAGCTCAAGGCGCCAATCAACATGTTGATCTGATATCTGTAAGCGCTGTTCTGCTGAGGTTGCGGAACATTTCTGAAAATTCGACCTGGGTCATGTTGTCCCACAAGGCTGTTGTTTGCACTGTCCCAGATACCAAGCAAATACAACTGTGATTCCAACCTGCTGATGCTGAGTCTCTTGGTGGCTATGTCGGATGGATTGATTGCTCCTAAGACTGCTTTGACCATCAACAGTCTCTCACCGACCAAATTTTGAAGCCAAAGGACTCGACAACTGAGATGACGCAAACGTCCAACTCCACGTCTTGATAAGATTCCACGTGCCGCTGATGAGTCAATGTACAAACACATGAGAATTGTTGACTGAAGCATCCATGAAATGATGGCTCTGATGAGGATTGCATCCATCACTGCGCTGGCGGCTGCATACGTTTCTGACTCTGCGCTGGAAAGTGACACACTCTTCTGTGTTCGACCGGAGGAGTAAACCAGACAACCTCCAAAGAAAATAGCAGCTCCTGACACTGAACGTCGAGTGTCGCGGTCTAATGCCCAATCTGCATCACTGAACACTTCCAGCACCGACTCATCACACTCATAGTCTTTGAGTATTCCAGAGTGAATTCCCTTCCATCTGAGAGAAACATGTTGGTCTGCATGGCCAGCCAGATATCCCACCAAGTGCTTCAGCACAAACATTGTTTTCTGTGTTGGCTTTGAAGAGAACGTCGAAAGGTATCTAATCACATACTGACATTGTGGAAGGTCAGGTGAAAGAAAAAGCAAAATCCCCACGCATGAACGATAAACTGATCCATCATGAGCACTCAACTCCTCTGACTTGTCAGGAATTTCAATCTCAGAGTATCCAGGTGACTTCTTGTTCTGCAAGCGCTTTGAGAGTTGCAACAACTTGCAAAGTTGATCCAAATGTTTCCCATGGATCTTCACCACCATGCGCCCATTCCAAAAGCTGGTGGGTGCGCTTGAGAAAGGTCAACTCGTCACCGGCATTGGACATGATCTCGATGGAAACTTCATACCTTGACTGCATATGTGGGATCAGCTCTTCTGTGACTGCTTTGCGTGACCCAACGAACAAAAATTTCATCCACGTGAATCATCAACAAGCAGTCACCAAGTTTGGAACGTAGGATGGATGGATAGGCCTCAAACTCTACCATCCCAAGGCTGCTTTCACCAGCAAACTTGACCAAGTCTCGATGCCACAAAAGACTGCCATCACGCCGACCTGGAAGGACACGGCACAAACTGTATGAGACACTTCTCCCAGAGGCATCTGTGCAACGTACACGAGTTGGCTGTTCTCGCTTGACTGTCAAGAAAGCGTCTTTGACATCAATGGCCAACATCATCGTGTCTTGGTGCTCTCGAAGGGCCAAAAAGCAAAGAGGCAAAATACGGCTGGCAATGTTCGAAGTAGCCGGTGAGAAAAGAGCGTCTCTGTCAGGCTGCAACCATGTGTACTCCCTTGCAACCAAACGACTACGACGCAACCAGATAGCATTGCCTTGCTTGTCTTTCTTCTCTCTCAAGGTGCGTACAAAGCGTGTGCTCAAGCTTTTGGCATCGTGAGGCAAGTTGTCCTCCTGCAAAACTTGGAGACCAGATAGCCTTTCAACCTCCACTTGATCTGCAATGCTATCCAAGCGCTGAAGCTAATCTGCACTGAGCTCTGGCTCTTGAGGGCTGTATGGAAAACTGAGCTCATCCACGTTGGGTCCCACATCATCCATAGTCTCATAGGGATCCTCGTTGAGATTCAATTCATGTTGGATCATCGTGTCAACTTCATCCATTTCAAGGTTGACGTCAGGTTCAATGTCCAGCTGCTCAATCTTCAAAATCTGCCCCAAGAGTCCAAGATGTCCAGTGTCATCACGCTTGGCAGCTTTGTTGACAGGCTGCATACTTTCGAAAGAAGCATCATCCAAAACTTCGACTGATGCCTCTGACTGTGGCGTTTGTGGAACAACGTCTCCATGCCCTGAAGAAGCTTCAACTGCTGTTGCATGAAAACGCTTTGAATCACCACCGGTCACATCATGCTGCGTGTTGTGCTTGCCAGAAGGTTGAGAAGAAGTTTCAGCATAGACGGGGGTCTGAGGCACGTCCACATTCATAGACTGGGCCCTTGAAGCACGCTTTGCTGCTGCTACGGCCTCTTCCATGCCCTCATCAGTGAAAATGGGTTCTTGCTCACCATCCTGCGGCTGCTCAGCTTGTCCCAGCAGCCCTGTTGGAGCAGGCTCAGCATGGGCTGTAATCCTCAACGTTGCACATGCTTTTCGAACTGCTTCAAGCAAAGAAAGAGTTGATGGTTCTGAGTCACAACGCAAACCAATCTCAGTGTGACCACAATGGACGATGAAGCGGCACATCTCGGTGACAAGGTAGCTGAGCCCTTCTGTTGCGTTGGCAGGGCAATGCACATTCCAGTATCGCGGTCAGTCACAATCAGCACTGTCAATTTGACTCATCACGCATTCGAGAACAGTAAAAGAAATCAAATGACACAACGCTATGGTCAGTTGTTTCATGAGTCTGTTGTCTGTGGCCATCTTGCTTTGCACGGTGAGCAACACACAAAGGACACCATGTTTCGTAAGGCTCATGCACCAAGTTGTGGGCCTGCTTCATGGACTCCGTGGGCTCGACAGGTTTCTTCTGAGGGATCGCAACACGTTCTGAATCCTTTTTGAGAGTTGCCTCCACTGCTTGGGCTTCCATGAGCTCACGAGTCTTCACAAACTCCAACATGCGACGCATACAGTCCTTCTTGAACCCACGCTTCGACAAACCCAAAGCTTGACATCCAGCACGAAGAGCTTTCAAAGAATGGTCATAGCTGAGAATTGTTCCATTAACTGTGACTGACTCTCATCTGTGTACGGCACAATGCGCTCTTCATCCAACGGCTCTGCATCAGGCAATTCAGCTGGGGTTTCCTGCACAGGCTGTGGACCTTCTTGTTGGTCACCTGGCTCATCATCACCAGCTTGCCCAACCAAGACATTTGCGTCAAAGTAGGGTGCCTGTTCTCCATCCAGCAGAGTAAAACCAAGCTGTTCTGAAGCAACGTTGTGCGCATGTGCTATCGTGAGAACTTCTATCACAGATTCTGGGGCATATATCTTGCCCTCCAAGTCTTCCAACTCTGAAATGGGCTCTCCAAACTCCAATAGCTCCCATCCTTGGGCATCCCGAAACACCAGCGTTGTCCTGAACCACATCATCTCACCTGCAGGGCAAGGTGTAGTATCCACAAACCTTGCACGTCGAGTGGTCAATGCATAGACCTGTGGGTTCAAATTGTTCCATCCAGGAAGTAAACGTCTCAACACTGGCTGCAAATGGATTGCTCTCAAGGCCTTTGGTTCTGGAGCTGTTGAAGTTGGACTCAGACAATCGTCCTCAGAGATCATTCGCATGGAACCTTTCACACAAAGTGAATTGCGATTGAAGCTCACGTTGACAAACTTGCCATTCTTCACAAGAAAAAATCCATCACTGAAGTGCTGAATCTCCCAGCCTGCTCGAACTATATGACCAAGTGCAAGCAAAGGACAACTGATGTTTGCAATAATGAAACGTTCACGCAAAATCACGCCATTGCCAAGGTCAACAGTTGCAAGTCTTGCGTCACGTATGTCAAGCTTTCCACCTTGCGCACCAATGAAGTCTGGTCCAACTGTTTCATGCTGACATGATTCACCAACATCAGCGTAAGTCAACGGCAGTGCGCTGGTATCTGCACCTGAGTCCAAAATGATCTCGGCAGAGGAAACACCTGCAAAAGACATCATCCTGACATGGTGCAAACGATTGGGCTCATCATGAAAAGTTGGTGGACACGTCCAAACATTGCCATCATCAGTGCAAGACATGTCAAAGTGCGTGACATCTGACTGCTGCAACATTCGAACAAGGCCAGAACCAGAAGCTCCTGAGTTTGAAAATTCTGTCAAGTCCTCAATGATCACAGTGCTATCGCTGAAGGCAACACGGTTGACATTCCCAGAAGAACGATATGCTGAAGAACTGGGTGACTGTTGCGATGTTCCAACACTGCTTGGACTTGATGCTGCATGTTGAGATGATCCATCAGCTTCAACTTGTCGAACAACACCATTGGCTTTGTCAGCCTGAAATTTGCGGCAATCTCGTTTTCAGTGTCCCAAGGCGCCACAGTAGTTGCATCGGTTAACATCAGCGGTCTTTGACTGTGTCTTCCCACCTCCTTTGGAGGGAGATCCATAACCTTTGCCACTCTGCTGGGGTTTTCCCTTGCCTTTGCCACCATCTTTCGATTTGCCTTTGTCTTTTCCTTTCCCTTTCTGTGTTCCTTTGCCTTTCTGTCCTTCACCTTTGGACTTCCCTTTGACCTGGTTGATTTCCATTGGTGCCACGCCAGAATCACCTGTAGCATAGGAGGTCACCGTACCAAGGGCTGTACCATTGATATCAGCCATTACTCTGTCCTTAGACCATGTTGAAGAAATCCTTTCATGAGCAAGAACTTGTTCACGGACTTGAGAGTACGTTGCGTCCTCTGTCATAGTCCATAACAGCGCTGAGTAAGGCTAGACTGCGGCCTTTGGTGCGCAGCACGTACAGGGCACTCAATTGCCTCCATGCCTTGAATCCATTTTGGTGCTGTACCTGCCTCAGAATTTTGAGTGGCCTATGTTTCAAAATCCCACCCAGGATGAGAAAAAGCTTCCTGGATCTTTCCTTCGAAGCATTCACAACTGCAGTATCCACAAAAGTCACTGTCAAACCAGGATTATCTTCTATGTGCTTGAAGTAGGGCTCATACGCTGGGTCAGCGAAAAACAACCAATGCCTGAAAGAGAAGGCAAAGTCTGACCAGAGTGCTTGATCATCAGAAGAGGTTACACAACCAAACTCCTTTGGGCACTGAACTACCTTGCTGGCTTCCGAGAAACCAGACTTCGATTGCCTCGACTGTTCATTGGCTTCCTTGAGGGCTATGGCCGCTTGAGATGCTGCTTCAGCAGCAAGGATCTGCGTAGCTTGCGTGCCAGACATGTTCACGACAGCAACAGCTCACCAAAATCCAGTGCAAAACGTTGGAATCCCAATGCCAGAAATCCAAGGTCCAAGCCAGCAATTGTCACTGAAGTCCAGAAAATTGCAAAAGCTCTGCAGTTGTAAATCAAACAGCTCTCGTACCGTCAGATACAATCTGCAAAAACTCAAGCAGTAGTCTAGTGAAAATTGAAATCCGGTCCCAGGTCAGTCCACACGCAATGATTGCTGAAAGAAACACCAAGGAAAGGCTATGGCGCTTACTACAACCCTTTGCTGCAAGTTCAGCAGCTGGTGGATAGGTTTCAGTCCACCTTTGAGCCCTGACCAGACAGTTGCCAATCTGGATCCTTGGGCTCCGCTACCATGCGGATTTTCCTTGAGTTGAAAGCGCCTCCAAAGTCTCACCATGTTACACTGCTCGATTTGCGCAGTGTCAAGTGACAAAACATGACTGCTATGGCATGTACATGTACTGATGCAAGGTGCGTAACATTTCTGCAATATTTAAAAAAGGATGGGACTGGTTTGAGAAATTGAAAATGAGGAGACAGAAAGCATGTCTAGAGTCTAGAAAATGAATGGGACTGGTTTCAGTTTTTTTTGAAAATGATGTGTTTGTGTTTTTCAAGTATGTTCATCTAGAACATGTTTGGGATTTTGCCTGTAGGGCGTTTATATGTTTTTATAAGGTTAGTTTCGGGTTTCCTGGGGATCTGTTCAAAAATCCTTGCTTGTTTATTGAAAGGTTGTGGGTATGTTTTTGGTTTCGTTAGGGTGTGGGGTTTCGTTGCTGTTTCTTTAGACTTTGTTTCTGGTTCATTGGGGGGAGCGTGGGGATTGTTGAAGCATGCTCCCAGTTTGCTCAGGTGGTTGTTTGACGAATTTTCAAGGTTTTAAGTTCTACTTAGAAAAACGCGTCGCCACCGCATTCATCGTTATCGCGCTTGTTGTGCTTTTTAAACAAGGCTAATTTCCTTAGTTTAAAACAAACATGAAAGTCAACTCACTGAACTGGAACGGCAGCGCCTTTTTGTCAACATGGGGCAAGCAAGTACGTGGTCTTCCCCTCGCCACGTTGAGCACTACAAAACTGTTGCAGCTGTGGTGGATGGCTGCAAAACTCTACATGCTGCATAAGGATGGATCCAAATGACCCCCACTACACCAAACGCAGCACTAGCTATGGACAGGATCAGGAGTACTATGGACTAAGCCATTCTGGCCAATAAGGATAGGATGTTCGATACGAACGCCACAGATGTCGGCAATAGTTTCAATCAGAAGCATGGAGTCGTCGCTGGCGTCGATGATCTCACCGTGCTGATTCACGTCGTAAAAAGCTGACACCCGGCTCGAAAGCGATGAAGTCCATTGTAGGAAGGAACCAACAGAATACGGTAGTGGGTCCAAGCGGGTTCAGCAAGAGTAGTCAACTTCAAAGGCACCTCCGGCAAATCAAGAGCATGGGGCACGGATGGTGCGCAGCCGGGACATAATTCGTTTTCCAATGTCGCCAGTGCCTGAGAAAAAGACTGCCAAACAAAGTGTAAGGATTGTAGGTGCAATGGCGTCCCAACACGCTCCAGAATAGCATGGAGACACATACAAATGTCCTCGACTTGGAGAACTGCACTGGTGCGAATCTCATCTGTTGCATTTCGATCGGCTAATGAATCACGCATGAAGTGTAAGCAAACTGAAATGAATGCAACACTGCTACTCAAGCTCTTCGATGCCCTTGGCTTTACATCAGCAGCATACCAACCTAGTGATCACTGTGGAACCTCAGTAGAAGCTCAACACGTATCCCTGCAGAAGATTCAGGAGCTCAATACAAACGATCACAGCTTCACCTTAGATGGTGTCCTTAGTACACTGCAACAAGGGTCAGCGGAGAATGGTGTGGGTAGCCCCGTAGGGCGCCGCTACCATGTGAAAAAGCGCCGTGCACAGATCCGCGATCAGATCCAACGCTTCATCAAAATTCCTACAGGACTACGCAGGCAGACGTGTACACCAAACACAAGCGCAGAGCGTATAGTCGCAAACCTAATTAAACTAGAATGCTGACATGTCAAGAAAACTGTTTCACTCTTGACTCCCACATGCTGACGTCGGACTCCTTCTTTTCGCTCCAGACGCAACATGATCAGTCACAGGGAAACACAAACACAACAAGCAAACCAAAACAACAAAGGAAAGGGAAGACAAAGATGTTCCCTCTGTCGGTCTGTCTTATGTCAAGTTAAGTGACACAGCAGCTCCTGTTCATTAAATGAACTTCTGACACCACTCCTTCGAGCCGATGTCTCAACTGGTAAACTCGATTCTAGGTTTCCAGTTAACAAACCTCAGGTTCTTCAAATAAAGGTTTGTTGAAACAATTCCAGCTGCTACACAGATACAAATTCACTTTTCCACTAGGTGAATTCAAAACGATTGAAACACTTCCAAAAGTTCTCAAAGCAAACTGATTCTCATCCAAACGTGAATAACCAGCTAGCTAACAAGTAACGCTCATATAAGCGTTAGCTTCTCAAGAACGAAGCGGTTCACATAAGGTATTCTGTACAACCTTCCTCTGAATAAAGAACGTAGTCGAAACACCACGTCTCATCTCCAAATCAGCTTTCCACATAGAGATAGCATCTCACAGCTTCAAACCTCAATGTAGAAGTAAGACATTCTGTTCGACATTCTCAATGTAGGTCAGCCAAATACAGTTGTATCGCTGTAGTCTTTCGACCACTGTAATAGCCGATCCACAATGTAAATCAAAGTCGCGGAAGGGCAATGTTGTCCTTGTCAGCGATGGTCAAAGTTGTTGAAGAACAACGACATTCTCTGAAGCAATAAAAGTCATAATCAAGATCAAGTGTCTGATCTGTAGATCACGATGACGATGATGTAGGTATTGTCCTCACAATACCGTAACATCTCATCACACAAACTCTCAGACAAATAAGATGAACAAATAGTCATTGTCCTCACAATACCAATGCATCTCAATGTCCCAAATCTCAAAGGTCTGATATATTCTCCCCATCAGATACTTCCAGCTAACTCAAACTCTTCTCCAAGAGCTTCCAGCTGTAGGTTCTCATCACTTGGAGAGAATAAACTGATCAGTGTCAACGACACGATACAAATCTCAATGTCAAGCCAATGTAGGTATCGTCAGCTCAAGCAATAAGCTGTACCAGATTCTTGCAGAATCCAGAATAAGATATAGAACTGATCAATACACCACATACCAGGTCAACATCGATGTCTGACACTATGAGTGTCGTAAAAGACTGCAGACTCAAAGACAATGAAATATAATCTCTCAACTGCGGGTTCAAAGCACAAAAGAATATTATGACCAAACCGCTGG